AATAACTCAGGAGAGGATGCTCGTTATTCACGGACTGACGTTTTCATGGTTACTCCTTCTGAGAGTTAACAAGGGCCCAACTTGTTAACATTGACAGATGTTTGGACTTCAGTTTAATTTAGTTTCTATTTATAGAGATTTTAACATTGGCTTCAGTGAGTACACCTTCATTCAAAACGTAATTTAACAATGTGGTAAAGGCTCAGTTAATGCCAGAACCTTCCACTGACTCGAGAAATTCATAAAGAAAGAAGGAACACACACACAAAAAGCAGGCCAAAGGACAAAAGTCCCTATCAGGGATCTTGACCATAAGCAACTTCCAAGGTTAGAGCCCAAGTTCAGGATACATTCTATGTATTTTTAAAGATACATTTCCCTAGAATTGTAAACTATTCAGGATTATGATCCTGAAGCACTATGAATCATTGAAAACTATTTATTGTATTTATTAAAGCAGGAAAAGTATATCAACACATTCAACAAAAATTTCCCCAGGACGTACAAGTCCTCTGATAGACTTTCAGCTAATTAAAAAATTTAAAGCACTCACTCATTCTACAGTACCCTGTTCTATGAGCAATGTACTACTAAGCTGAATTTTCTATCTTGTTTTGAATTAGCTTCCTTTTTTTTTGTTTGTTTGTTTGTTTGTTTTGAGTATGGGAAACTCAATGTAGTGCACTGATTGTTGTGGTTACCATTAAGTTGCTCCAATTATAAGAGACCTATATGTTGTTTTCTTACTTGCATGCATGTATGTGTCTATATTATAAAATTCACAGATATATGCTGTGTTGATTAAAAACTCCAATAGTGGCAGTTGAAAGACTACAAGTATTTCATTGCTAATCATGGCTTAATCCATAAAACAGAACAGAGCCCTTCACAAGGTAAATTAGCCAAGGAAATATGCCAATTTTGACTTCATTTCCATCCTATTGAATGACTGCATTCATTTTCTTTAGATTTAAAGGTCTTCACTGTACTGTTCCTCAACACCCTTTATAGACTCCCAGCTTGCTTTTCACCTATCTTTTAGCAGTTTAACATAGACGGCTGGATCCAGGCCATTGTTCCAATTGTATGCAGCTTAAAAAGCTCTGCAGTGTTTTACTCTTTCCATTGTATCTGGCTCCGCTGAGTGCTCCGCTCACCGCGTTTCACCCGCACTCTCTGTTTTCTAAACCCATTTATGCCTATTCTTTCTGAAGGCACTTGCTCCTCCGGGAGCTCAAATTGACTTCTCCCCATTCTATTTCCTTAACTAAAAATGCACCATTAAGGTTGATTGAACTCTCTTAAAGCACTTTATAAAAAATGAAAGGCCATAAGAAAGTAGGCTACGAGTGTTTGTAAATACCTGTTTTAAGCCAAATTGATAGGAAGGAATAAGAAATAATTGGAAACTTAAAAATGTTATTGATTTTTTTTTACAGATTTTTTTTACAGATTTTTTTTGTTTTTTGAGAGACACACTTGTAAAACATTATGGGAGGGAAGCATAAGAGAAAGCTATGTTACCCTTAAATCCAGAGCAAACAGTAGAGCCAAACAACTAAAATTGTCAAAAACATTTTTTAGGAAACAAACCCTGTTTCATAAACAGGAAAACGCAAAACACGCAGGTTGTGGTTAAAGTCTACAGCTTTTAAATCACACCACCTCACTTTTTCTATTTAAAATAGTTATTTTTATGGTTTACAGAAATAGTAAGAACATCATTCACCCTTTTTTTGTATTTGTAACATTTAAAAATAACTCCTGATATGAAATATTTTAACCAACTAGAGATGAAAATGTAAAATGCTTTTTGTCAAAGAAATACCATATATTTCTATCTTGATGTTTGCTCAAAGTATAATCCTTTTTTAAAAACTTACCAAGATACATTATCCTGATGGATTCTTAATCAGAGCATATAGAAATACTATTATATTAAATGATAGAATAAAAGGAAAAAATCTCTTCTAACTTTAAATTATGCAATTCACAATCATCAGTATCTTATATGGAAAATTACAATATTGACAAATCTTCAAAATGTATCTAGAAGAACAAATAGCTAAGATAAGCCTAATAAAAATAAATAATTTTATTTCAGGAGATTAATATGAAAGATATCTCTAAGTTTCTTTGAATATGCTATTCCTAGATAACAAAATTACATGCTAGCAAATCATTGTATATATCATAAGGAAAAGACATCATCAAAACAAAATGCTAAAATAAAAAATGCATACCATTGAGTCTGAGAAATTTACAAGACAAAATGGAAACAGTCATAGCAAAATGATTTAATTTTGTAAAATAAAAACTTGCAGACACAGACTGTTACTGACAAAGTAACTGTATAGTTCTGCCAATCTAGTTAGAAAAGAAAATTGTGGGCTTAAACTGCCAGTTAGTAGGCATCTTTATGTAAAAGTATTTCAGCAATGCAGGAAAACAAGAGAAACAGTTAAACACTTGCAGGCTGTCCAGAAGTTCTGTTTCATAATGGAAGTATTAGAAAAACCAGTTTCCACCCCATACACAAACTGATTTGTTTAGATTCATTGAATAATGACCAGAATGTGGCTGAAAGTGCTGGCTTCTACTTATATAGAACTACACATCGTTTATGTCTTTCATCTAAGTAATATTTAATTAAAGCTAGGAGCCTAGAACACGGCTTAGAGTGAATTCTAATGTTTCAAAACATTAAGCACTTCTCATAACGTAGGGTAGCTTATGGATAGTGAAATGGCATGTTAGTTAAATATGACTTTTAAATAGTCATGATTGCCTATAAACAAACTCACATATACAGTGAATGCTAAATATTCTAGGTAAAAATATGTTCACAGAGTTAATTTTGTGTCAGTACAAAAATCTAGGAGTACAAAAGTAGAATTGTGATGTTCTTATTGAACAATTATAGTTAATATATATAGTGATCAGATCAATTTAACTGTTTTCAGTTAGGCACCACTCATATTCAATGGCATTTTCATTTGTTTTGTTGACTAGGAAAGCGATGGAGTTACAGATACTGCCTTATGAACTGTCCATTACTAAAGTTTTTTTGTTTGTTTGTTTTTGACAGGCAGAGTGGACAGTGAGAGAGAGAGACAGAGAGAGAAAGGTCTTCCTTTGCCGTTGGTTCACCCTCCAATGGCCGCCGCGGCCGGTGTGCTGTGGCCTGAGCACCGCACTGATCCGATGGCAGGAGCCAGGTACTTCTCCTGGTCTCCCATGGGGTGCAGGGCCCAAGCACTTGGGCTATCCTCCACTGCACTCCCTGGCCACAGCAGAGAGCTGGCCTGGAAGAGGGGTAACCGGGACAGAATCCGGCGCCCCGACCGGGACTAGAACCCGGTGTGCCGGCGCCGCAAGGCGGAGGATTAGCCTAGTGAGCCGCGGCGCCGGCCTCATTACTAAAGTTTAACATACATACGTATTTCTAGGGGAACTGTACATCATCATGCTGGTGACATCCACTGCTATGACAGAAAAAAATTCTTTACTCTGTTAACTCATGTACATAAAAAAAATCATCCTTTGGTTCTTTTTAAAATTTCATTTATTTGGGTCTCATGACTCCCCTTTTAAAATAATTAATTGAGAGTCAAAGACAGCTCTCAACCATGAATTCACTCCCCAGTTGCTTACAACAGTCAGGGCTGAGCAGGCCTGAAGCTGGGAGCCAGGAATATTCAATCCATGTCTCTCATGTGGGTGGCAGGGAACCAACTCCCAGAGCCACCTGCTGCCTCCCAGGAAGCTGGAGTTGAGAGGGAAGCTGGGATCCCATCAAGGCCTTCCAATAAAAAGACGTGGGCAGCCCAAGCACCATCTTAACCACTAGGCCAAATGCCCACTCCCCTCACTGTTTTTATTTGAAATTATTTATCATATATTTACATTGAAAGATTCGTGAAGGTTGAGTCTGTGTCTCTGTTCAGACACCAAACAAGGCTACATATATATTTATTATTATTCATGTCATTACCAAATTATATATTTCAAGAAGAAATTCAGATGTACTTAAAATTTAATTAAAACTTTGTTAAGAATTATGATACCTCAAAATTTAATAATGTGTACATAAAACCTAATTAAAATCTCATATTAAAAATCCACAGGAAAATGGTTAGGAGGAAATACGTGGATATGGTATTAATAAGTTATGTTTTTTCTGCTCTTCACTTTTCTATTCTTGAACATTTTTCTCCAGTGAAAACTTATTACATTTCTTTTTCCCCATTAGCTCATTATTTAAAAAGACAATTTTATTATGAACGAAACACATATTCAGCATTTCATGTATACATAATCTTAAAGAAAAAAGATGCCCATTTCTTAATAGAGAAGAGAAACTGACAGCGCTAATGAAGCAGCTGTCACAACCAAAGGGCAACCAGGACCCCTTCTGGTCATCTTTAGAATTGCATGGTGGTGGGTTTTTGTTTTTAAGATTTATTTATTTATTTGAAAGGCAGAGTGACAGAGAAAATGAAGGGAGAGAGACCTCTTCCATCTGCTGGTTCACTCCCCAAATACAGCCAGGGTTGGGCCAAGCTAAAACCAACAGCCGGAACCACCCAGGCCTCCTACGTGGGTACTTGAGCCACTGTCTGCTTCCTTCCCTGGCACATTAGCAGGGAGCTGGACTGGAAGTGCAGAGAAGCCAGACTGGACACTCCAATACGGGATGTGGGTGCCCCAGACGGCAGCTCTATCCCTTGACTGGCTACACACAACACCGGCCCTTGCATAACTACTTTTTAAATAAAGGACTTTATTTCCACCTGAGTGTAATAGTTGTTCAAAAATCACACATTGAGAAGTGTAAAAATCTATATTTAATTAGGTTTGAAATTTTAAACATTACATGATTAAATAACAGACAGTATTTAAAGACTAAATAAAAAATTGTTGCATATACATTGAAATTAGTTTCCAAAAATACCTTTAAAACTATTTCCAGATAGATTATTAAGTATAAATATTTTAGTTAAAAACAATTTATTTTCATGCAGGGAACACATAAAATCTTTGAAAACTATATGCAGTGTTGCAACAGTTCTTTAAAATTAAAATAGAACATTTTTTGAATCATGGAATCTATTTATGTCAAAATGGGATTGACAATTTAGTCATCAAAGAGCTGTATTTAACAAGCAAACCAATGTGATGGGTTTGTGATATCTCTTAGTAATGTACAATGGAATAGTTTAGAAATCATTTCCTGGGACATACAGTAACTGAAGGTGAGGATTTCCACTGTGTCCACTCGTTTGAATACGTGCCCCTTTCAGGCTGAAACTGCTTGTACAACTGTACCACTGTGGGCACAACTCAACAATCTGCACACGGAGTAGGACCCCTCTGTTCTCCCACAGTTAGCTGCACTTAGGAATTCATATTAATGCCCGCAATTTGCATCTCTAAACAATTCTGAGGGCGTCAGTAGTGTGAAGTTCAGTTCTCACAGTATAGTCCTAAGGTTATCTTGTAGTTCAACTAGCAAACCAGTTGTGTTTGATGAAAAGGGTACGCTTTAGTTTCACGTAGCCCCAGACGAAGAGCTCATTCTCAGGTGCAAGGGGGCTCAGCTCCTCCCTCTTCGTACGGTCACGTGACACAACAATGAGATTTGTGCAGCCAAGTGCTTCTCGGTCTGGAACTAAGCATTAGATTCTCAGGACTACATTTCGTGTCACTTCTGTATTTTTAAGTTGTTGTAGGATACGATAGATCGTGATTTTGTAATAGAGACATTCACACACAGAACTAAGATAACCATAAAGAAAGCTGAAGGGAGGTGATAGGAAACTCATCAAAGCTGATACATTGTCTTAGAGTGGAGCTGAAGAGCTGCGGTAGCAGGAAAGTGGTCCTCTTTCTGTTGTTTTTCGCTGACCGCCATCTGGGTAGCTTCTCCTGGGCAGACCTGGATTTCTGGAGTCTGCCAGTTTCTCTTCGGGCAGTTACAGTTGATTTGATCTTGAAAAGTTGCCCCCAGGAATTCTGTAAGAAGTAAGATATTTATGAGTCAAATAATGGTGCCCTAATTTTGAAAATTATTTTTATTTACATGGGGAGGTAGAGAGAGAGAAATAGAGAGAGAGAGAGAGAGAGAGAGAGAGACAAGGAGACAGACTTAATTTCTTAACAGACCAGCTAACTTAAAGTAATTCTAAAATAAGTCTTCAGTAAGCATTTCTGTATTTCATATGTGTGAAATTTTAAAAAAGAGAAAATGATTCTATTTTTGTTTATTTCAAAGTCAGGCAGTCTGAGTTCTCAGTGGGACATGGTTGATCACAGCAGAGGCAGTCAATGTGGCAAGAGCCAGGCCTGAGCCAGATCTGGCACTGGGAGAGATTGTTCTAACAGATGAACAAAGCATGAAATGAAAGAGAGAGAGAAGAGTGAGAGCGAGAGAGAAGGTTGTATGTGGACATGCCGAGGTGTTGAACGGCAAAGTGAAATCTGAATGAGAACTAGCAAGATTCTTTCTTAGATGTGGAGATGGGCACTAGGAATGAGTCCAGACGTAAGACATGGACAAGAGGAAACTTTAAAGAGAAAAAAATTCTCTGCATTCTCAAGTTCAGAGTTGAATTTCCCTGCCCTGCAGAGTAGAAGAGAACTGCCTTGGGGCCAGTGTTGTGGCGCAGCAGTTAAGCCGCCACCAGGGGCAACAGCATCCCATATGAGCACCGGTTCAAGTCCTGATTGCTCCACTTCCCATCCAACTCCCTGCTAAGGCACCTGGGAAAGCAGCAGAGGATGGCCCAAGTGCTTGGGCCCCTACCACCACATGGGAGACCCAGAGCGAGTTCTTGGCTCCTGGCTTTGGCCTGGCCCAGCCCTGGCTGTTGTGATCATTTGGGGAATGAACCAGAGGATGATGGAGATTTCTCTCTCTCTCTCTCTCTCTCTCTCTCTCTGTGGGTGTGTGTGTATGTGTGTCTAGGACTCTCTCTCTAACTCTGCCTTTCAAATAAATAAATCAATTTAAAAAAAAAAAAAGAAGGGACGAGGACTGCTCTGCTCAGTGACAATCCGAGTAACAGCAGAGGCCCTGAGATGACTGCAGGCCTCACTAGGAAGCGCCAGTGCTCCAGGAGCACGGTTCAGACTTGGTAGCCATTTCTATGCATTTTTCATTTATTTGACATGCAGAGTGATGGAGAAAGATGGAACATAAAAAGGAGGGAGAGAGAGACATCTTCTATAAGGCACTCACTCCCTGAATGCCCGTGACAGCCAAGGCTGGGTCAGGCCAAAGCCAGGAGCTTAGAAGTCAACCTGGATCTCCTGCGTGGGTGAGAGGGGCCCAGGAATCTGAGCCACCTACTGGGTCCACATTAGAAAGAAGCTGCACTGGCAGTGAAGCAGGACTCCAATCCAGGCACTCCCAAATGGGATGTGAGTCTCCCAAGAGGTGGCTTAACCCACTGCACACCTGCCCCTGCTTCTGAGCGTTCTTGAAGAAACAATTTTCAGATACTGGATTCCGGCAAAGGTTTGGTGACTGGGGAAGAGAAGCCTTGTGCCGTGTGATATCTTTTCTTGGCTCCCAGAGTAAATTACAAAAGTTTGTGGGAAAATGGGAGAAACTATCCATGCTTTTTTTTTTTTTTACAATACGCATTTTATTTTTAAATGCATTTTTATTTATTTGAAAGGCAGAAGAGAGTGGTGGGAGAGACAGAGGGAAAGAAGCAGACGGAGACAGATGAAGAGATTTCCCATTTGGTGCACTCTGCAAACGCCTACAATAGCGGATCTGAGCTGAGTTAAAGCCAGGTGCCCAGATCTCAGTCCAGGGCTCCCACGTGAGTGCCAGGCATCCAAGAACTTGAGCCATCACCTGCTGCTTCTCAGAACATTTACCGAATCAGAACAGGAAACTGAATCAGAAGTGGAGGCAGGACTCGAACCTGGGCACTCAGACACAGGGTGTGGGCATCCCAAGTGGCACCTTAACCAATGCACTGAACACCAACCCCATCATAATATGCGATTTTCATGAGCTTTTTGAAGACTCCATATATGCAGGGATTTCAAAAAATTTTTGCCCCAAAATAAACACATCTTCTAATTTCATTTTAGGTAAACAATGTCTTCCACACATAAACAATGTCTACATGTCACCAGCAAATACAGAGAGCAGTTTTTAGTGCTGAGGAATGATGTGAAACACAGAACAGCTTTACCTTCCCTCCTCGTGGCTGGTCTGGAATATCTGTGTAGCTGGAGGTGCAATACCCTGATGTGACAAAAGGGACGGGGAGATGTTTATCCCTCTGAGTTGCCGAAAAGCTATTTCGGCATGGATGCTCCGAGGATTACTGGTCAAAATCCCTGTATTCTTGCTTTTTTTGTCTGGAATTTAGAAATTCAGATAGTTAGCATGAGACAATGAGAAACACTGAGTAACAAAGTTTGCTTATGATTCCACTGAATGTAGGCTATGTGCTTCATGACTGGAATTGGAAACTACAAATAGAATTTTAGAATTGGAATACAGTCTGGGAATTTAACACAGGTTAAATTCTTGTGAGCTAGCAAATCAATCTGGTATTTTCTGTTTAATTTAAAAATATGAACATACCCAGATGTGCACACTGTAATAAAGGTACAGACAGATTAGACTTTTCAAAATAACAGATGCAACAGCCTAGTCAGAAAACAGGAAAGAAGTTATAGGACTTTTCCAGAACGCCCTAAGAAATGGTTTCATAAAAATTTTGAAGATCAGTATCTATGAAGAAAGTTGTGGAGGAGAATCCAGGGGTGAACTAATGCCAAAAAGAAATAATATTCCTGAAGATGACACTGTAATATTAAGGAGGCTAATAACAACTTGACATGTTCAATTTGGTTGATAGTTATAGCCACTGGACACAAGCATATAGATCTTCATTATTATTCAAATCTTCTGTTTCCATAGAGAAACAGAAGTATGAAAAGTCAGACAAAATATGAGTATAACATAATAACAGAGAAAATTGGGCTGGGGTCCTTTAAAACCTCAAGGACATGGAGCATTGTACCGCCTTCAGTAGGCTCTCACACTACAATCACTGCGGCGTTCGGCTACTGCCTACCAGTGACCGAGGACCGACAGGGAAGCTTCTAGAAGGGACGGAAGCCACGAGCCTTCAGAGAGGAGCTATTTTGAAGATCCAGCGTTAGGGAATAGGCTTGTTCTACACCTGAATTAAAATGTGTAATATAAGAAACTATTATTACACACTCCTTCCATTAAACCTCTGTCTCTTGAAACTCTTCTAGTATCCGCCTCATGGATTGTTGTGCTTTCAGGAAAGGGTGTTACCTCTGTAAGGCATCCTGCACACCCCAGCGTTCTTGCTGGCATACTGTTGACTCTCTGATTTCTACTTTTAGGAGGACTCCCTAGGGAGCTGGTTTTAGTAGCTGTTTGCTATGACATACACAAAGTGCAGGAAAAGCTCTGGAAAGAGGTAAGCTAGGAAACAATTGTGTGTGAGTGCCACAAAGTTCACATTGCAAGCAGTAAATATTTAGTTAGAACATACTAGTAGCTGAGCCTAAAATCACCAGAGACTCTGAAGCCAGAATGGCCGCAGGAAACTTGAGCAAACAATGTTGGGAAATGCAAGTTAAAAGTACACAATCTTAAGCAATGTTCGAATTCCAAGTGAGATTTTTGTCTGAAATGAAGTCTTTGCTTTACATTCTCTCAAACTCTTTTGTCAAAATACCTTCAATTTCAGGAGTTAAAGTGAAGTCAGGGCCCAAGTAATGGCTAAAGTCACCAGGCAGAATCACGTTTGTTATCTTTATGGGAGGAGCTTTCAGATGGGCAAATGGTGAACCGTCCACAGGAGAGTTGCTGGCAGGAATAAGCTAGAGAATAAAATGGAACAGTTAAGAACACCTTGCCTTCAAAAGTCAGATCAATAGGTTTTTAGTCCTAATCACAAGCCCCACTTAACAAACTTTTTTAAGTAAAGGGCTACGCGCTTGCCTAAACTCAGAAGGTGTTGGGTAAAGGACTGCTCAGTGGTTCCCTCCTTCTTCAGATGCCTGGGTTCCATGTTCTCAGGCGGCCTTGTATGCATCACTACAGTTTCATCCTTGATGGCACCTCCCCTTTCCAAAGGGCCTTGACAAGGTAAGCGAAGGCTTAGGAAATGAGAATGAAGATTTCCCTCCCTTTGTAACGCTGCTTCTTTTCCTAAGCGCAGGAATCTCTGGAAGGTGAGTTATTTCTTCATATTCCTCACATGACCTAATTAGGCACCTTGCAGTTAACCAGCTTTCCAAAAACTAACAAGTGAAATGGGGATGCACAAAAAGCATTTGATAGCCATCAGTTTTGACGAGCACAGTAAAACTCCATCAACAGTATACTGACACTAGAAGTCTGTGGAGCATTAAGAGGCTTTTGAAAGAATTTCAGGAATCAGCAAAGGAAGGATACTGACTGCGGCTTTCCTGAGAATGTATGCCTTGCTCTTTCATTGAGATTGACCTTGTTTATAAAAATATTTGTTGTCCCGGCTGCTCCACTTCCAATCCAGCTCTCTGCTGTGGCCTGGGAAAGCAGTAGAAGATGGCCCAAGTCCTTGGGCCCCTGCAACCGCATGGGAGACCCGGAAGAAGCTCCTGGCTCCTGAGTTTGGATCGGCCCAGCTCTGGCTGTTGTGGCCAATTGGGGAGTGATCCATCGAATGGCAGACTCTCTCTCTCTCTCTCTCTCTCTCTCTCTCTTTCCGCCTCTCCTTGTAACTCTGACTTTCAAATAAAAAAATAAGTCTTTAAAAATTTGTTTTAAAAATATGAAATTCCAAATATGAGAGACATAGTTCTGCTATTTGTGTAAGATTAACAATTGATCAGGGGTCTGGCACTGTGGCATAGAAGGCTAAGTTTCTGCCTATGGTGCCAGTATCCCTTATGGGCACTGGTTTGTAGCTGCTCTTCTCCTGATCCAGCTCTCTACCATGGCCTGGGAAAGCAGTGGAAGATGGCCCAAGTTCTTGGGCCCCTGTACCCAAGCGGGAGACTTGGAAGAAGCTCCTGGCTCCTGGTTCCTGGCTCCTGGCTTCAGATAGGCCCAGCTTCAGCCGTTGCAGCCATCTGAGGGGTGAACCAGCGGATGGAAGATCTTTCCCTCTGTCTCTCCTTCTCTCTGTAATTCTACCTCTCAAATAAATAAATAAAATGTAAAAAAAAAAAAGATTAACAATTTATCTCATACTTTGGTATTACCAAGGATGCAGCTTTGTAGGAAATACTAGATTACCAGCCCTTGTCTCATGCTGGCCAGCCCCACGCTCCCTAATTTCTTCCCATCACTCATCTAGAACACTGGCAAATTTTCTTGTGAAACCAATCCACCAAAACACTTGGGTTTAAAAGACAACTTTAGATTTTATTTATGTCTTCCTCATCTGCTGCTATAAAAAGAAAGGGTAGCAATTAACACATTAGACTAAAATGATAAACCTGAAAGTTTTCTGTCCTTGTGTCTCTTGAGCAACTAAAGAAATAATGGCTCAATTTTGTGCTAGTCATGAAAATAAGAATGATTGCCGAGTCAATATATATTTCGCTAAAATAAAGACTTCAAATATCCTCTTTATCTTACTAACCATGCATGGTGAATCAAAAACTTTCTATCCTAACTTTAATTTTTAAAGATTTGCTTATTTATTTAAAAATAAGTTATGTGGAAATTGGGATCTTTGAAGTTGTTCTAAGTGACTATATAGTTCAAATTTAACAACTTTATCTTAAACAGGATTTATAAATTTTATTTATTTATTTATTTATTGACAGGCAGAGTTAGACAGTGAGAGAGAGAGACAGAAAGGTCTTCCTTCCGTTGGTTCACCTCCCAAAATGGCCACTACAGCCAGTGTGCTGTGCCAATCCAAAGCCAGGAGCCAGGTGCTTTTCCTGGTCTCCCATGGGGTGCAGGGCCCAAGCACCTGGGCCATCCTCCACTGCACTCCCTGGCCACAGCAGAGGGCTGGCCTGGAAGAGGAGCAGCTGGGACAGAATCCGGCGCCCCAACCGGAACTAGAACCCAGGGTGCCGGCGCCACAGGTGGAGGATTAGCCTAGTGAGCCGCGGCGCCGGCTATAAATTTTATTTTAAAAATTATAATTTCAGAGGCAAAGGGCAGGATGAAACAGACATGCAGAAAGAGAGAGAACACTCGTCTACTGGTTTACTCCCTAAATGGCTGCAACAGCTAGGGCTGGGCCAGGGCCAGCCTGGACTGTTGCAGCCATTTGTGGGGTGAACCAGTGGACAGAAGATACCTCTCTCTCTGCTGTTCAAATAAATACATACATAAAGAAATCCTTTTTTAAAAAGAACTTCCGGGTTGGCGCTGTGGTGTAGCAGGTAAAGCCACCGCCTGCAGTGCTGGCATCCAATATGGATGCCAGTTCAAGTCCCAGCTGTCCCTCTTCCGATCCAGCTCCCTGCTATGGCCTGGGAAAGCAGAAGAAGATGGCCGAAGTCCTTGGGCCCCTGCACCCACATGGCAGACCCGGAAGAAACTCCTGGCTCCTGGCTTTGGATCAGCACAGCTCTGGCTGTTGCAGTCATCTGGAAGACCTCTCTCTCTCCTCCCTCCCCCCCACCCCCGGCCCCTGCACCTCTGCCTTTCAAATAAATAAATAAATCTTTAAAAAAACAAAAAAAGAACTTCCGTTAATATGAGGACTGAAACACATTACTATTGTTGATTTGGCATGGGAAGTCTGGTCACTGGGTACTATGGAGTCTGGAAGGATGGCTTCCCCAGGGGCATGCACAGATGCTGGCACCAATCCTGAAGGGAATGGGGTCACAGAATACGAGCCAAGAGTTACAAATCATCGTTTGGAGTTTGCCCTGTGCTACGTGATCACAATTCTCAGACGGTGCAAAAATTTATTCAAGCTGTGCTGTTGTTGATATAAACGATTTGCAACTGGAAATCCAGGGTCATGCTTACTTTTCTTCTCCCAAGAGACATTTTTATTTGCTGTTGTAAGCCCTTTGTTATTGATCTAGCCACATTCAGGTCCTGGATTGCCACCTGAGAGATGTTGCTTAATAGCTCCAAGCTATAGGAGCCATTAACAAAAAAAGGCATCTAATCCTGCAGGAGTGACAGGGTGGCTCTTAAGTGTGGTTCAGTTACTAGCAGACAAAGCACTCCCGCACTAGGTCACTAACCCCAAAACAGTGTCTGCTGCAGCTAACGCAGGGCCTCCGACGTCCCTCTGAGGGTGAAGGTTACAGCACACGCACCTTCTTCACAGCTCCCACCAGCAGTTCGGAACATTCTGATCAATCCACTGTTATTTGGTTCCAAAAACATTGTTATTGCCACTAATATGGCGTCATCACAAAATACCGCCACGGAATCATCAAATGCATTGAAAAGAAAATGCAAAGATGATAAAGGCGGTGATGACTTCAATTTGTAATCTAGCCTTGATGCATATAACGTGTACACTTGGTCTTGAATCCACTGTACTAAAATTAAACAAGTATGCTGGTGTTTCACAAATATTAAATAGTGTTTAATAAGTAAATACGATTATACTTCAACTGAAACATTGGATTTTCCTTAATAGGATTAGTAATATTTTTTTACCAGACTTAAAGTATATGAGACAAACTTATCATTCATCAGCTTGGAAAAATAAGTCAAGGTTAATCAAAAAAGATAGATTCACTTTAAAAGTCAGGGAATCACTAAGAATTACAGGTAGGAATACAATTCATATTCATTTTCAAAAAGATTTCAAAGATAAAGCTACCCAGATTCACCCATCTTTTGATGAAGGACCAATGCCTTTTCTGAAACCAAGGGTCCCTTAACTTACACTTTATCTGATTGCTCTTGGATAAAACATATCCTTAAAGTTTTTTTAAAAGATTTATTTTATCCATTTGAAAGACACAGTTACAGAGACAGGTAGCCAGAGAGAGAGAGAGAGAGAGAGAGAGAGAGAGAGAGCACAGTCGGTCTTCCATCCACTGGTTCACTCCCCAAATGACCACAATGGCCAGAGCTGAGCTGATCGGAAGCCAGGAGCCAGGAGCTTCCTCCTGGTCTCCCATGTGAGTACAGGGACTCGGGCCATCTTCTGCTGCTCTCCCAGGCCATGCAGAGAGCCGGGCCGGAAGAGGAGCAGCTGGAAGCGGCACCCACATGGGATGCCAGTGCTGCAGGCTGGGGCTTTACCCCACTGTGCCACAGCACTAGCCCCACCCTTAAAGTTTTACTTAAAATTTCCAGATGTGGGTTCTTTAAAGTGACAAGAATTTAAAGACATGAAGAAAAATTGAACACAAAAATTGGTCAGGATTTTTAAAAAAATATTTTTTTCTGAATTTTTACCATCTTCTTTATTTTACTTCTTTTCCTCCTACACTTAATCTGTCATTGTGTTTGTGTGTGTGTGTGTGTGGCTGTTCTCTGCCCAGACTTCCTAAAACATCCATTTGTCTTTCACAGAAACATAAAAACAATCCTGTAACACGTGCACGGAGAGTTCACAGCTATCTGTGAAACAACCGCAGGAGAGGTGTGGAGAATCACAGCTGACGTTTGCCGAGTCGGCGCGTGGACTGCTGTGGGAGAAGCAGGCAGTGTGGTGCCCGTGGGCAGGAGCGGGGCCACGGGGTCGCGTGTGCCGGGATCTGCTCCACAGGGGACAGAGTGTCAGCTGGCCGGGAGGCGAGGGAGGCCTGTTAGGAGCGCAACTCCCAAACCCTCATCTCCTTCCTCTTCAAGGTCGCTTCTTCCCACAGTGTCCTGGGTCTCTGGCTTTCACCTCCATTCCCCAGCCTGACGCGGCTCTTCAGAGTATGTCTCTTAGATTATTGCTAAAACCTCTCCTGGTGTCCCTGCCCCTCCAATCTCCTCAAATCTCGCAAAGGCACAGACAGCTCCACTATTACTGCTGTGCTCAAAACCCATAGCTTTTCTGTGTTAAATTTAGTCTTTACAGAATGACCATGGAGAAACTGGTCGGTTGGTGACAGACTCCTTCCTTCCACCGTCAGATGCACTTGAGGGATGGTGTGTAAAAGGCCCCGCTATCCTGCTGATAAAGAAGAGCAGAGACACCTCTCTCCCCCTCCCCCTCCAGATGAACCGCACAGTCTGGAGGGCGGAGGTGGGAATTCCCCCCACCCCAACCTCCTCTCTAGAGAAATGGAAACAATGTCACCATGATTTTCTACTTGTGACAGTCGCATGCTATCCTTTCTTTCTCCCTCACATCATCTGACACATTGAGCACACAGACATTACAAAATAGCCCTTGTGTTACAGTACGTTCTTATGAAAAGGGCATTCCGGGAGTGCCTACGAGCTGGCTCTTTCACCACATCAAGCTGCCTTTGACAATGAGCACTGAATAGATGATAAGACCAGCTACCAAAACCTCACAGGTTTAAATATTTAAGTCAAAATGCATTTAATGTAATGTTCATTTGCTAATCGTGTCTACGTTTCGAAAGGAAAAATGCGAATAATGTAACTCTTACCAAATTTTTCTTTGCTTGTAGTTCAGAAACTTGTAACTCAGCTTTTGTCCTGTCATCTGAATTCACAGGAATCCCATCCAGCTTCTGTAAGTTAGGCAGCCGGAATATGAGCACGTGGCGGTGGAGCATTTTTCTACAAATCTGGATAAAGTTAAACGTAAGTTATTCCTAGAAAACCTCTCATTTCAAAGATTAACCTTTATAGAGGAAGGAGATTTAGCATAGGCACAAAGATGACAGCCAACAGTTAGTTCATTGCTTTAGGTGCTACAGATACAAGGCTCCCTCGGAGAAGATTTATTTCTCAATTTCTTGTCATGCCAAGTTAAGATAAGAACTTTCTTTTTCATGACCACATCGTTTAAAGGTACACTGTACTGTTCGCTAACTATAGGCTATCTCAATGCCTGAATAGGATTATGTTTTGAAAGTTCACTGGTCAGCACTGAAGCCCAGAGGGCTGAGCTGCTGCCTGCAATGCTGGCAACCCACATGAAATTAGTCCGAGTCTCAGCTGCTCCACTTCCAGTCCAGCTCCCTGCTAATGCACCTGGGAAAGCAGCAGAGGCTGGCCCAAGCACTTGGGCCCCTGCACTCACATGGGAGACCTGGATAGAGTACCAGGCTCCTGGCTTCAGCTTGGCAGGGGCCTGACTGTTACAACTATTTGGCTAGTAAATCAGTGGATGGAAGATCTCTCTCTCTCTCACTCTCTGTCAGTATGCCTTTCAAATAAATAAATAAATATTTAAAAAGGAAAAAAAATCTTTTGGGAAGCAGAAGATTTTAAGAGATTAAGTACCAGCAAAAGCACTACACATCAAAACTCTTAAGATGCTGCTAACGCAGTGCTTTATAAACTAGAATTTGTTGATTGATTCAAAATAATTATTTTTGGGGGCCGGCGCCATGGCACAGTAGGTTAATCCTCCACCTATGGCACTGGCATCCCAAATGGGTTTTGGTGCTAGTCCTGGCTGCTCCTCTTCCAATCCGGCTCTCTGCTGTGGCCTGGGAAAGCTGTGGAAGATGGCCCAAGTCCTTGGACACCTGCACCCACAAGGGAGACCGGGAAGAAGCTCCTGGCTCCTGGCTTTGGATCAGCACAGCTCCGGCTGTTGTGGCCATTTGTGGAGTGAATCAAAGGAAGGAAGACCTTTCTCTCTGTCTCTCCCTCTCACTGTCTGTAACTGTGCCTCTCAAATAAATAAATAAAATCTTAAAAAATGTTTTTAAAAGTAACTTTCAAAAACCAAAAGAAGGAAATAATAAAGGATAGAAGTTAATAAAATAGAGCAAAGAAATAATACTTGAGAAGGCCAAAATATGGTTCTTTAAAGAAAGTAATATGGGACCAATGCTGCGGCATAGCAGGTAAAGTCTCCGCCTGCAGTGCCGGCATCCCATATGGGCGCCAGTTAGTGTGCCGGCTGCTCTTCTTCTGATCCAGCTCTCTGCTATGGCCTGGGAAAGCACCAGAGGATGGCCCAAGTCCTTACTCCTTTACACCCATATGAAAGACTTGGAAGAAGCTCCTGGCTCCTCACTTTGAATGGGCCCAGATCTTATTTTAAAGATTTATTTATTTGAAAAACAAAGATACTAAGAAAAAGAGAGAGAGATATCTTCTTATCTGCTCATTCACTCTCAAAATGGCCACAATGGCTGGGGCTGGGCCATGTGGAAGCCAGGAGCTGGGAACTTCATCTGGGTCCCCCACGTGGGTGCAGGGACCCAAGTACTTGGCCCATCTCCCACTGCTTTCCCAGGCACATTGGAGCTGGATCGGAAGTGGGGCAAATGGTACTCATATGGGATGCTGGAATTGCAGTCGACAGCTCAGCTCACTAACCCCCACCCTTACTTTAATTTTTTTAAAGATTTATTCATTAATGCATTTATTTGAAAGGCAGAGACAAAGCGATCTTCAAAACACTGGTTCACTCTCCAGATGGCCGTAATGGCTGGGGCTGGGCCAGGGTGAAGCCAGGAGTGAAGAACTGCATCTTCCATGGCTTTCCTAGGCACATTGGCGGGGAGCTGGACTGGAAGCAGAGCAGCTGGGACTTGAACTGCTGTGGGTTCCGTGTGGGGCGCTCTGATACGGGATGCCAGAAGTGGCAGCTTAGCCCACTGTGCCACATGCCAGTTCCCAGCTCATAAGGTTTTCCAGATAAGGCCTAATTATCCTTCAAGGAACACATAAGACTTCTATACAAACTAATCCATAGACTAGAAAAAGAGGGTGAGTTCCCAAGCAAGTTTCATGAGACAAGAACAACCTTGATAGGTTTCAGAATAGTATAAGAAAATAAAATTAGAGGATAATTTTATATATCTTATAGATACAGATAAGCTGCATAAACCATTAAAAAACCTAAAACATAAATCCTCATTTCTGAGGTCTATTATTGTGCTCCCTTGGCTTTCTCCCCATTTTTTTTAATTTATTTATTTGAAAGTCACAGTTACACACAGAGAGAAAGAGAGGCAGAGAGAGAGAGAGAGGGAGGGAAAGGTCTTCCATCTTCTGGTTCACTCCCCAGATGGCTGCAATGGTCGGAGCTGCACTGATCTAAAGCCAGGAGCCAGGAGCTTATTCTGGGTCTCTCACGTGAGTGCAGGGGCCCAAGGGCTTGGGCCATCTTCCACTGCTTTCCAAGGCCACATCAGAGAGCTGGATCAGAAGAGGAGCAGCCAGGACTCGAACCAGTGCCCATATGGGATGCCAGCACTGCAGGCGGCAGCTCCACTCACTATGCCACAGCGCACGCCCCTCTTCCCAATCTAAGCAGCTATTTTCACCCTTTAAATGTGTTAAGAAATTAAGTAAATAGGATGCTACTTGTTATATTCCCTCAAAGGCTTCAATAGGAAAGGTGGCAAATTTCTCCTAAAATTAATTGATAAATTGAATGCAATTCAATTAAAGTATCAACAATATTCTCACATAACTTCAGAATTTGTTTCCTAAACAACCAGCAACCAAGACAGTGAAGAAAGAGAAAAAACAATGAGAAAGAGGCGAAAAGAATCAGAGGCCTTAATCTGCCATACATCAGGATAATATAAAATATTAGTAATTAACATAGTAGCATATTGGTACAGGGCCTGATTAATAGGCCAATGAACACAATGTAGAATCCTGAAACAGACCTTATACGTGCAATAGCAGTTTGCAGTGTAATCAGTTGGCAAGACACTGGTCAATAAATTGGCTAGGCATATGGAAACAGGTAAAATAAACCCCTTGCTCACATGTATATAAAGTATATGTAACTATAAGAAGTTCAAGAGGTAACATACTCACTGGATTGCCATAAATTGTAAGCTCTTTGAGAGAAGAGATAACTTCAAGTTTTTCCAATTCTGTGATATCCTATTCAAAAGTCAATCAACAAGTTAATATTTGGTTGGATCCAACATCTTCAAATATAGACTAATTTGAAATAATTACATGTACGTGTTGGATTGCAGCTAGGTCATGACCAGCTATTCGGAAATGCAAATTCCAAATGCAAAGATGACAGTCCAACACGGTGACTGCAAAGATGACAGCCTGACATGGAAAATGGGCCTTCCAGTAGCACTTGCAAGAAAAGACCAAGTATCTCCTCAAAAGTGTTATGATCCAGCCTCGGCCTCAGATTACATTCGGTTCATTTCTCCAGAGTATTGGCTGAGGAGTACGGAAAAGGTGAATCCGGTCTAAACCATTTCAAAGGCACACATTAAAGATCCCTCGATGAATCAAGGAGCCGATACTGAGTGGGGTGCCGGCAGTATATACAGCTGGGAACTATTCCTTGAGTTTAATGATTTGCCTTTCCTGCTGCATGGGGTTATTTATGATTAACATTTATTTAAGAGAGCCAGCCGAACAGAAAGCTCTCATTGGCTGGCTCACTCCCCAAATGCCCATGGTAGCCTAGGGCTGGGCAGGGCTGAGAGCAGGAGGCAGGAACTCAGTCCCGGTCTCCCAATTACTTAAGCCTTTACCACTGTCTACCAGAGTGAGCAATGCTAGTTTACAGTAATACAAATAAGTTATTGATATGCCAATATTTGGAATTACAAGTGAACATATAGCCAATTCATCTAGTAACTATAGAAATATTTATATCTATTTTAGATCATTTGGAAGTGAAATTTGATTTTTTTTTTAAATGACTGATCCTGTTTTGAGTAAAGGAGGGATTTGAAAAAGCTCTACTGTTTAGTTATTTATAAAGATATTGTGCACTTTTACTCACAGGAATTTCCTTCCTATCTGTGGAAGCATGATTGGAAATTGTGGGCAAAGGAGAAGTCCTACTTATTTACTCAGATTACACAGATTATACCACTGTTCAATATTAAAATATTCCTAATCAAACTATTGTTCCTATAGAAAATGCTATCATGGAAACACAGTGTTAAATTTGTAGAGGATAATGTCGGTATAAGCTTTTAAAGAGACATGACCGCCACTGGGCCAGGGGAAGGGAGGGCTGATGGCTTCTGATTTTAATATATGGTATTTTTTACAGTGGGATGCTAGATTTACCTTTTACTGACTCACAAAAGAAGTTAACTGGTGAAAGTTCAGGAATTAGGTGATACAGAGTTTTAGCTTAAAACTGGCTACGGTTGAAAAATTCTACCATGGAAACTGAAAAATGTTGCTAAATAGGGATTTTCCCCACAGAGCGCCAGGGACTAAACCTTAACCAGCACAGTGCTTCCAACGGGGCTTCCATTCTGAGTACAGTGTTAGAATGGGCACCTCAAGCAGTCACAGCAGTAGCTTTGGATTGGGGCTTTATTTGGGATAGGAAATGGGGACAGTTTCTTGGAGTCTTTTCCAGTTACAGGTAGCTAGCAGCTACAGGTGATTATTCAGCCATTTAAAAGCAAACAGAGTGGGCCCAATGCCAGACAGGGGATCATTAGACACAGGGCTCAAATGTGGCTGTGAGGCTGAGTTACGGAACTCATCGTTCAATAGCATCGCTGTGACACCTCCTGCAGAGGCGAGCCTGTCTACTACACTAAATCCACATTACTGGACCAATGGCTAAGCCAAGAGCTTCACGCCAGAATCCACGCTCAGGAGTACGCAGTTTCTGTAGGACGCTTCAGTAGGAAAATGAAATTAATGCTGGTGTCAGCTTGCCCATGCTGGAATAAATCTAGAGGCAAAATCCCTCACAGGAGGAAAATGTGAACTGAGAGTTAAGAATTTTGAACAACCTATATTTTCAACATAATTCAAGAGAAACGTCCAACTTGCCCTTATTTTTCCAAGTTCTTTAAATTTTTTTAACATTAAACTTCTTTAAAAATATTTCTTTATTCGTCATAAAGGTAGAGAGAACGGGGGAGTCAGAGGGGAAGAGAGAGCGAGAGAGAGAGAGAAAAATTTTCCCATCTGTTGGTATGCTCCCCAAGTGCTTAAAGCAGCCAGGGCTGGGTCAAGCCAAAGCCAGGAGCTAGGAACTCAGTCTGGGTATTCCATATGGACGGCAGAGACCCAAGTGCTTGAGCCGTTACTGCCACCTACCAGAGTGCACACTGGTAGGAAGCTGGGATCGGAACCAGAGCTGGGACTCGAAGTCAAGCACCTCAGTAAGGGACGTGGGCATCCCAAATGGCATCTTAACCGGGGCACCAAACACCTGATCCTGAGTTCAAGTTTCCTGCAGCTTAATGTATGACGCATGAAAGTACTATAATATTAACAGAACACTTTTAAAGACAATTTGATGACAACAGACCACCTCAAGGATAAAAATGAAGAAGGGCACATAATTAAGCGATCAATAACTATCACTCCTTTGTTCAATGATACATGCATAGTCTCCATGCTTTGTCCTACTGATGGTCATTTCCCTATATTAGATTTGATCGTAAATAAACATGACTAAGCTTTGTTCTAAGCTGCTGTGGAGGATATTACTATGTCAGCTGCTCTGGCATGCGTTCAGTCCTCTGACGTGGAAAATGGGTGAAGAAATAGGACAGGGACGCTTCTAGGCGAAGCAGGTTACCTGTCTCATCTTCCTGTAAGCATGCTGGTGATTGGACAGCTTGTCCAATACAGCACGTTATTTGTTATGAAGAAACTCTTCATGGGATTCTCTTAACAGGTCTTCCTGGTTAGGGATTGCTTACAATTAATAAACCTAGGACTTGTAGAATGATAAGGCACAGCTCCCTGTAAAATGTTGTATTAGCTCAGGTAAAAAGTGGAAATGCTTCATAAACGAAACACTCCTATGCTAAGATCAGCCCACAGAATCTTACGTGGAGATCTTATCTTTTACGCTAAGCTAGCCAGTGTGCAAGATGTGAGAAGGATGGCCCTGAGAATCCCCTAGATTGAAAGTATTAGCACACTCGGTATCAGGGAAGATCTCTGCTGAGTTCAAGTCTGGCTTGAGAATCCTTTGTATTAGCTCAGTTGCTATCACTGGAAAGATTTCTTACAAAACAGCGTTTTCCTAATTTAGATTTCTTCTGAATAAAGCTTTGGAAAAGTCATCACAGTTTTGGCAGGCTTCTCACAGGTCAACATTCAGGTCTGGATAAGCAGTCTTTCTCTGTGTGTGCCTTTCTGAATAAAAGGTTACATAAAAACGGCACTATCTAAGATTTTCTTCTTACCTCGGACTGGGCTTTTATATTATCGCAGAAAAGACTTCCTGAACTCCAGCTAACAGCCACAACCCAGTATTTACTGAGTATCTACTATGAACATGGTATATACGATACATACTATGCCATACATTGATACAAGTATGAATGAGACACACTCCGCCTCTGCCTTTAGGGAGTAGTCCACAGTGCAGTCCCTCCTGGAGGCTGCCTTCGCAGCACGGGCAGAAATAGCAAGGTCAGTGAAAGAGGGAGAGAAGAGAGCAGAACATGGTTATGCTTTCAATTCCCTTTTCAGTGTGCCGTCTCAGGAGCGAACCCAGGCAGCCTCAGTTGGAGCAGCGGCCTAAGAGTAATAGGCTGAATTCTGAGTAGGCAAAGCCACAGCAGGGCGCTATCTAGGGAGAACTTGCGTGAGAAGAGATGCAGTCTTAAAGCCAAGACAAAGTCCGTTACCCAGAGTTGATACAGACACCAGGTAGATCAAGGAACTATGGCACGTTTAACCAACCGGGGCAAGTCGGGAACTGGGACTCAGAAGAGGCCTGGACCAACAAGAGTCCAAGGGAAATGAGATCCGGCAGAGAGGACTGGTGAGAAGAGTTCTAGAATATTTAGAAGTAACCTTCCCTAGTGGGTGGCTGCAATGGGTTTGCCCCGTTTATACAAGGGGTCTTCAGAAAGTTCACAGGAAATGCATATTATGAAAACTTATACATGGATTTCAAATTTTTGGAACCAAATTAAGTGCTTTCTCTCCATTTTCCACAAGCTTTTTGAAGTATCCTCCTAAGTCTAGAAGCAGGGTGGACATCTTTGCATCACAGAATACTTCTATGCCCTGAAATGTACATGATGTATAAATGACAAATTGGCACAGTAGTAAAATTTTCACTAGTGTGTTTGGAAACTTTATGTTCAGAACATAGGCTTGTAAATCTCAAAACAAACAAACAAAAAATAATGGTACCTGTATTTTATTATATCCTAGGTAGAGTTTCTCTAGTTTTACCAAATGTTGTAATTTGTTCAGCTCTCGCAGTCTGTTTTCCTCCAGATGGAGTGCCAGTAGAGAACTTGGTTTGGCAAAAGCGCTATCGTTGAATGACCTGATGCGGTTGTGGTCCACCACCAACTCCTGCAGCACTGCTAAATTGTCAAGCCCTTCAACTTGACTGATCTCATTTCCTGAAAAACAGTAAGTCAGGATACATCAAGGCAGCACAAACTTATCTACCTTTACTTAAATATTTTTTCAACAAATTATTTTTTAAAAGTAAGATATTTTTTAAAAAAGAATATTGGTAAGGGCAAATTGAAATGTAGTCGACAGGAAGGTAGCATCATTACCAGATAATGTTTGTTAACGTTGCTCCTTTGTCTTTGGAAGGTCAGGCTATGATGCTCACAATGTACTAAACTGACCCCATCTGTCTATCCAGGTATTAAGTGCTAAAATGCTATTGACAAAAGTAAGTGTATAAGTGTTGCAAAAGATATGCTGCCTAAGTGTATCTGAATTTTCTAATAGTATTCATGATGGTTAATTTTAGGTGTCATTTTCACTGAAATAAATAATTATTTACAAAGCGTGTCTGTGAGGGTGTTTCCAGAGAAGATTAGCAGGCGAGCTGAGCTGAGCAGGTGATAAAGATTGCCTTCAGTCTGGGAAGACATTGTCCAATTGGTTGGGGCACAGAGGATAAATAGAGAAAGTGAATTTATCTTTATTTTTTTAAATTTTTATTTAGTAAATATAAATTTCCAAAGTACAGTTTATGGATTACAATGGCTTCCCCCCCCCATAACTTCCTTCCCACCCGCACCCCTCCCATCTCCCGCTCCCTCTCCCATTCCATTCACATCAAGATTCATTTTCAATTATCTTTATATACAGAAGATCGATTTAGTATATATTAAGTAAAGATTTCATCAGTTTGCACCCACACAGAAAATAAAGTGTAAAATACTGTTTCAGTACTAGTTATAGCATTAATTCACATTGAACAACACATTAAGGACAGAGATCCTACATGAGGAGTAAGTACACAGTGACTCCTGTTGTTGACTTAACAATTTGACACTCTTGCTTATGGTGTTAGTAATCTCCCTAGGCTCTAGTCATGAGTTGCCATGGCTATGGAAGCCTTTTGAGTTCGCTGACTCTAATCTTAGTTAGACAAGGTCATAGTCAAAGTGGAAGTTCTTTCCTCCCTTCAGAGAAAGGTACCTCCTTCTTTGATGGCCTGTTCTTTCTACTGGGATCTCACTCGCAGAGATCTTTCATTTAGGTTTAGGTTTTTATTTATTTACTTATTTATTTTTTGCCAGAGTGTCTTGGCTTTCCATGCCTAAAATACTCTCATGGGCTCTTCAGCCAGATCCGAATGCCTTAAGGGCTGATTCTGAGGTCAGAGTGCTATTTAGGACATCTGCCATTCTATGAGTCTGCTGTGTATCCCACTTCCCATGATGGATTGATTGTTCTCTCCCTTTCTGATTCTATCAGTTAGTATTAGCAGACACTAGTCTTATTTGTGTGATCCCTTTGACTCTTAGACCTATCAGTATGATCAATCGTGAACTGAAATTGATCACTTGGACTAGTGAGATGGCACTGGTACATGCTACCTTGATGGGATTGTATTGGAATCCCCTGGCACATTTCTCACTCCACCATTTGGGGCAAGTCCGATTGAGCATGTCTCAAATTGTACATCTCCTCCCTCTCTTATTCTCACTCTTATATTTAACAGGGATCACTTTTCAGTTAAATTTAAACACCTAAGAATAATTGTGTGTTGATTACAGAGTTCAACCAATAGTATTAACTAGAACAAAAAAAATACTAAAAGGGATAAAGTATTAAATTGTACATCAACAGTCAGGACAAGGGCTGATCAAGTCACTGTTTCTCATAGTGTCCATTTCACTTCAACAGGTTTCCTTTTTGGTGCTTGGTTAATTGTCACCGATCAGGGAGAACATATGATATTTGTCCCTTTGGGACTGGCTTAATTCACTCAGCATGATGTTTTCCAGATTCCTCCATTTTGTTGCAAATGACTGGATTTCATTGTTTTTGACTGCTGTATAGTATTCTATTGAGTACATGTCCCATAATTTCTTTATCCAGTCTACTGTTGATGGGCATTTGGGTTGATTCCAGGTTTTAGCTATTGTGAATTGAGCTGCAATAAACATTAATGTGCAGACTGCTTTTTTGTTTGCCAATTTAATTTCCTTTGGGTAAATTCCAAGGAGTGGGATGGCTGGGTTGTATGGTAGGGTTATATTCAGGTTTCTGAGGAATCTCCAGACTGACTTCCATAGTGGCTTTACCAGTTTGCATTCCCACCAACAGTGGGTTAGTGTCCCCTTTTCCCCACATCCTCTCCAGCATCTGTTGTTGGTAGATTTCTGAATGTGAGCCATTCTAACCAGGGTGAGATGAAACCTCATTGTGGTTTTGATTTGCATTTCTTTTTAAAAAAGATTTATTTACTTGAAAGGCACAGAGAGAGGGAGACACAGTGCACACACACACACAAAGGGAAAGGGTGAGAGACAGAGCGAGAGCAAGAGCAAGAGAGAGAGAGAGAGAGAGATTCCATCCGCTGGTTCATTCCCCAAATGGCTGCAAAGGCCAGGCTGGGCCAGGCCAAGGCCAAAGTCCATACTCCATCTGGGTATCCCATATGGGTGCAGGGGCCCAAGCACTTGGGCCATCTTCCACGGGTTTTCCATGTGCATTAGTAGGGAGCTGGATTGGAAGTGAAGCAGCTGGGACCTGAACAGGTGCTCACATGAGATGCCAGCACATGGTGGCTTTATCCGCTATGCCACAGCACTGGCTCCTGAATTGACCTCTTCTTGGCGAGTTGGGATAGATTCTTTTTCTGCTCTCTTGGACATCATAACTCCAGTTTGTTCAGCCTTGAGACTCCAGGACTTACACCAGGGCATCCCAGGATATTAGGCTTTTGACATCAGACTGAGAGTTACACTGTTGGCTTCCCTGGTTCTGAGAACTTTGAACTTGGACTGAGCCACACTACTGGCAATCCAGGGTTTCCAGCCCACGGATGGCCTATTGTGGTTCTTCTCCATGCGACAATATGTGATCCAATTCCCTTAAGAATTGCCACCTCCCTCTCTCTCTCTCTCTCATTCTCTCTCTCTCTCTCTCTCTCTATATATATATATATAGTGTATATATATAATAAATGTATCTAATTATTTCTTAAATTAGTTTATTATACAGTTGTCCTCCCTTATCTGGGTTGCATTTCTGTGGTTTCGGTTATCATCAGTCAAGATCCAAAAGTATTAAAGGAAATAAATCCCAGAAGTAAACAATTCGTGAGTTTTGAGTTGCCTGCTATTCTGAGTAGCATGACACCACTTCACTCCACCCTGCTCTGGCTAGCCTGGGATGTGACTCATCCGTTTGTTCAGCATATCCAGTCACCTAGGAGCTATCTCAATTATCAGATTAACTGTAAGGGCACCACAGTGCTGGTATTCAAGTGATCCTCATTTTGCTGATTACATCTTTAAAATTTTAAACTCTTAATAACTTGAGTCCTTTCTACTGGAGAAATCAGTTGCTTTATAAATATTAACAATAACTTACATGAGAAGAGGACTCTTGAGTTCACAAATGCTTTTATATATATTTTCTATTACAGTTGGAAAAAAGGACAGAGAAAGTTCTCTCTTTTTAATAACCAGAAAGCTGAGAGACAAACCAACTTGCTCAAAGAGGTAACAATGGCAATACCAGGCTCGATGCAGACTTGTGTGCCAGACACAGCTTCCATCCAGTATCCACCCTTCTTGTTTACTGCAGTCTGAATTGTGTCTCCCCCACCCTCACTCAAGTCCTAACCTCCAATGGCTGAGAAGTGATAAGTATTTAATGAAGTAATGAGGTTAAACGAGGTCTTTGGGGTGAGCCCCAGTTCAATATGACTGGTACCCTTCTAAGAAGGTGTGGTTAGGACAGACACAACAGAGAGAAGGCCATGTGGAGATACAGAGGCCGTATACACCTGCAGAGAGGTCCTTAGAAGTCACCAACCCCACCAGCAACCCCTTCCAGCATCTACGATGTGGGGACTGATTTCAGTTGCTTAAGCCCCCCAGTCTGTGGCACTTTGTTATGGCAGCTCTAGCAAGCAAATATATTGCTGAACACACAATCTGGAATTCTTCTCCTTGAAATTTAACATATATCATTGAAATTAACATGTCAATGACTGTTAAAATGTGTCAATATTTTATGTTCATTTCACTAGGAAAGAAAAACCCACATCAGATAAATTATGACATTCCATCTATTAATACACAAGCAGGTTTCAGACATGTTGAAATATAACGAGTGTTTCAGAGCTGATGAAATATGGTAAATCTACATTATTTTGTTCTAGTTCTTATAGAAATCAATAATACAATCTTCAATTAAGTTACCCACAGAACTAAATCACACTTTGAAAATTACTAATGCCTTACCTATAAATGAAAAAGTTTATTAATGCCATATTGAAAACAATGATTTAACTGTGTTAATACATTTTTTTCATGAAATGTTACATTTAGGATATCATTTTAAATATTTTAAATATATTAAAAGCCATATGGAATAGCTTCAAGTACTGAAAAGGGTATACAATAGCATATTCTTAGCTACCATTCATTTTATTTATTTATGTATGTATTTATTTTTATAGAAAACTTTTACTTAATAAATACAAATTTCAAAAGTACAACTTTTAGATTATGGCAGTTCTTCCACCCATAACTACCCTCCCACCCGCAAACCATCCCATCTCCTACTCCTTCTCCCATCCCATTCTTCATTAAGATTCATTTTTAATTATCTTTATATACAGAAGATTAACTCTATACTAAGTAAAGATTTTAACAGTTTGCACCTGCACAGGCACACAAAGTATAAAGTACTGTTTGAGTACTTTACTAGTTTTACCATTAATTCTCATAGTACATAAGGACAGAGGTCCTACATAGGGAGCAAGTGCACAGTGACTCCTGTTGTAGATTTAAACAATTGACACTCTTATTTATGACATCAGTAATCACCCGAGGCTCTTGTCGTGAGTTGCCAAGGCTATGGAAGCCTCTTGAGTCCACAAACTCCGACCTTATTTATTTAAGGCCATAATCAAAGTGGAAGTTCTCTCCTCCCTTCAGAGAAAGGTACCTCCTTCTTTGACGGCCCCTTCTTCCCACCAGGATCTCACTCACAGACTTTCATTTAGGTCATTTTTTGCCACAGTGTCTTGGCTTTCCATGCCTAAAACACTCTCAAGCTCCCATTCATTTTAAAATGCTCATTAAACAAACTTAAGAAACTCAATTATCCTAAATGTGATTTCAGAGATGTTACACTCCATAATTCATAGCATTTATCACTATTCAAAAAGCTCTTGCTAATTCAATTAGTTAAATGTTGAGAAAATTTGAAACAGACCTCACAGGGTTAGGCAGTTTGGCTATGGGTTTTGTTTTGTTTTTTCTGTTTGTTTGTTTTGGTATGTCCATGTATCTTTTTCAAAGATCTGTCATACTTTCTAAAGATTTATAATTCCTATCTTTTGTCAACCATAGCAGTCTAAATTTCTCTCCCTGGCATTCCATAATCTGGCATTTCTCTACATTAAACATTTTTAAATTTTATTTTTAAAACTTTGAGAGAGAGAGACAGAGAGAGTGTTTCATTTGCTGGTTCACTCCCCAGATGCCTGCAATGGCTGAGGCGGACCCAGCACTTCAGCTGAGAGCCAGGAACGCAATCTAGGTCTGCGACGTGGGGACAGAAACTCAATGACTTGAGCCATCACTGCTGTCTCCTAAGGCCTGCATTGACAGGAAGCGGGAGTCACAGCCAGAGCTGGGAACTGAACCCAGGCACTCTGATGTGGGACACAGGTGTCTTAACCTTTAGGCAAAACATCCACTCCATCCTTCTCTACATTTTCAACTCAACTCACTGCTATTCCACAACATCTCAAAAGGTTTCTATACAGAAACGAGGTCTACTCAAAGCTAAACTAAATAAAATGGATACTTTATGTATTAAAATGAACATTTCCTATCAAGCTGACCGTGTTTACGGGCTCCACAGCTCTGTCAGAGAACCACACAGCCTTGGTTCTCATCAGGTCGGGTCCATACACACCACAAGCATGCTGTGGCTCTCCCTCCTCCCTCCGCTGGCAAAGCTCTCAGTAATGCTCACCTCCATCCCATCAGTCCTTCAAAGATTCGTAGATACACAGAGGAATGAACCTTTCAATGTTTATTTTCTCTAAGTTTCTGTTGCACTTAAGTTAGCAACACAGCAAAACTTAATTCATCCTTGTCTCAGTACATTTCTACTATTTGAGATTAAAGATCTCAACGATCTATAATTACAATATGGTACTTCCATATCTTTCACAGTACTTATCACAATTCCAGGTTTACTAAATACTTATCAATTACTCACTCGTTACTTAGCATTTTTTAAGTTGAATATGATTTCAAAGTAAATTATGATGTGATTCTGAATATAACCTCACAATGTTGTATTTTTCTTCAAAATTTTTTTGAAAATATGTAAATAATCCAGGAAAACTCATTTGTGATTTTTAACATTTTTTTTTATCAATACACCTGTTTGAATAAATGTTGAGGCTTATAGTTGCTTATCAAAGCTGGATAATAATCAAGCAGTTTTAATAAAAAAAGACTTAGACATTGACAGTGTTTCTACTTACCCTGTAGAAAGAGGTATTTTAAATTTCTTAGTCTGTTAACTTGTAGTTGGATTAAATTACAAATTCCATTGTAACCCAAATGAAGAACTTCTAGACTGTGCATCATGGGAGGCAAATGTTCGCCGCCTATTGTATCTCTGAAACACAGGGAAGTTTGAGGCCATAGTATGTAGTCTGTATTTTATAAAGGCACAAAAAACCCAGAAATGTTCTTAACTGTAAAAAATGGAATGAAAGTGTCCTGGCTTGGGTATGTAACATATGCACACACACACACACACACACGTGGACGTGCACACACAGCACATACATACATATGTATGTATCTTTATGTTCTATCAAAATCGTGTAGCGTAGGGAGGCAGGCATTTGGCCTGGTGGTTAAGACACATATACCCCACATCAGAGTGCTTGGGTTTAAGTACTGGTTCCACTCTCGATGTCAGCTTCCTGCTAAGGTGCACTCTGAGGCAACAGTAATGACTCAAGTATTTGGGTTCCTGCTATGGGAGACTGGGACTGATTCAGTACCAGTCATTGTAGACATGTGGGGAGTGACCAGTCGGTGGGTGCTTGCTTGCTCAGTCTCTCTCTCTCTCTCTCCCTCTCTCAGATCAATAAATAAAAATTAAAGAAAATGTGCGGGGAGGTGGAAGGTATGTTCTTATCTCTTTAATTTTTTTAATTTTTTTTCTGATACTGTATTTCTTTCATGTTAATGTACTATGTATGCCAAGAGAACAGATTCAATGTGGTTCATAGGCACAGTTCTAAGAATACAGCATTTCTTTCTTCCCTCTCATTCTTTCTCTTTTTTCTCTCTCTCTCTCTTCCTTTCCTTGCTTCCTTCCTTTTTAGTTTTTGAGATAACATATTTTTAATTAACATTACAGTCAAAAACTTAATGTTCCAGTAAATAAAGAGATAAACCAATAAAAAGCAGTAATATAGGAAAGGGCTATAAACAATAATCAACTGGAAGCTGAACATTTCACCCCTATACAGTAAATTTTAAAATAATCACAGATCATTAAAGCTACAGTAGAACATTCTCAACCATTGGCTTGACAAACACAAAACAAAGTTAGACAGAAATATATTTGCAACAATACTGATACTCACAGGCATTTCTTTCTCTTTTTTTTCATTTTTGTTTTTGTCTTCTGATTTTTTTTATCATTTCTATTGGTGCTACAGCATTAAGTGACCAAATAATTTGGAAATAAAGACAAATGTTAAAAGAAGCCCAAGCTGAAGATGACCCAAGTCCTTGGGTCCCTGCACCCACATGAGAGACCCAGATGACGCTCCTGGCTTCAGCCTGGCCCAGCCCCGGCCACTGCAGCCATGTGGGGAGTGAACCAGTGGATGAAAGATTTCTCTCTCTCTCTGTCTCATCCTCTGCTTTTGTAATTCTGTCTTTCAGATAAATAACTAACTTTTTTTTTAAATAAAAAGACGAAGCCCAAATAAAGAGTTCCTGTGGGTTGATGAACGTGTTCTGGAACTACATAGTGGTAATGGTTGCACAAGTCTGTGAAAATCACTAAATTGTACACAAACAGCAAATTTTATGGTATGTGAATTGTATCCCAATTTTCAAAAAGAAACTCAAGGTCATAAACATATAAGGATTCTTGTTTTTTTACTTTTTTCTTTATTTACAAAATAGGTATGAAATAGAAGACATGGCAAAACAATGACAAAGGAATATTTTGGGTTGATTCATGAAGTTTATTACTGGCATATAGCTATTAAATAATCATTGAAATAAGCTAAGTATGTCCTCTGTAACATGTCACTACTGTCATTAGTATGACTAACTGCTTTTTAAATTCCCAACTAAAATTATTTACAGTTAAAAAAAGAGTACCTGTTCATTTTTGAAGTTCCATGCTGCCCATAGCCACTCGAGGCCACTTTCTGGTAGAGCAACTGTCTGTTGCTTAAGTGAGTCTGAGGCTTTACTCTGGGCATGATTGATTCAATATGGTTATAGTTGAGGCATAAAACCTAGAGAAAGAATCTTATTAATAGGACATCCTAGAAACTATTTAAAATGGCATACTTAGGGGCCAGCACTGTGGCCTAGCAGGTAAAGCCACCGCCTGTGGCACCGGCATTCCATATGGACACCAGTTTGTGTCCCTGATGCTCCACTTCCAATCCAGCTCCCTGCTAATGCACCTGGGAAAGCAGCGGAGGATGGCTCAAGTGCCTGGGCCCCTGCGCCCATGTGGGAGACCTGGAAGAAGCTCCTGGCTTCAGACTGGCCCAGCTCCGGCTGTTGGCCACTTGGGGAAGGAATCAAGCAGAAGGGAAGACCTTTCTCTGTCTCTCTGTAACTCTGTCTTTCAAGTAAATAAATAAATAATTAAAATAAAAAGGCATAGATAAAACTTGGAATATACATGTTAGTACTAGATTTATATTCCAAATTATTTGTTTTTGTTTTGTTTTGTTTTGTTTTTCTTTTTTGACAGGCAGAGTGGACAGTGAGAGAGAGAGACAGAGAGACAGAGAGAAAGGTCTTCCTTTTGCCGTTGGTTCACCCTCCAATGGCGCTGATCTGAAGCCAGGAGCCAGGTGCTTCTCCTGGTCTCCCATGCAGGTGCAGGGCCCAAGGACCTGAGCCATCCTCCACTGCACTCCTGGGCCACAGCAGAAAGCTGGCCTGGAAGAGGAGCAACCGGGACAGAATCCAGCGCCCTGACCGGGACTAGAACCCGGTGTGCAGGTGCCGCAGGTGGAGGATTAGCCTATTGAGCCACGGTGCCGACCCCAAATTATTTGTATTTAGGGTTTTTTGTTTTTTTTTTTTTTTTTGACAGGCAGAGTGGATAGTGAGAGAGAGAGAGAGAGAGAGAGAGAGAGAGAGAAACCACGGCCAGCGCACTGCGGCCGGTGCACTGCGCTGATCCGATGGCAGGAGCCAGGAGCCAGGTGCTTCTCCTGGTCTCCCATGGGGTGCAGAGCCCAAGAACTTGAGCCATCCTCCACTGCACTCCCTGGCCACAGCAGAGAGCTGGCCTGGAAGAGGGGCAACCGGGACAGAATCCGGCGCCCCGACCGGGACTAGAACCCGGTGTGCCGGCGCCGCTAGGCGGAGGATTAGCCTAGTGAGCCGCAGCGCCGGCCTGTATTTAGTTTTAACTTTTATTTATTTATATGGAAGTCAGACAGAAAGAGAAAAAAAGAAACAGGCAGACAGAGGTCTCCCTCCTGTGTGCTGACTACCCAAATGCCTGCAACAACTGCGGCGAGGCCGTGCCAAAGCCCGGGCCTGGGAACTCAGTTCCGTGCACTCACACGGCTGGCAAGGACCCAGCTACTTAAGTCATTCCTGCTGCCGCCACGGTGCACGTTAGGATGGAATCAGAAACACACGCTGGGACTGGAACCCTGGCACTACAACGCAGGATGCTAGCAACCTAAGAGGTATCTTGATGACTATTCCAAATGCTCACCTCTGGATTTAGTATTGAATGTGTGTGGGGGGGTCATCTGACATACTGGGACATTACAATACTTCAAATAAAATAATGGAGACCCTAGAGAGCTTCTAAGCTTTCTCAATCTGCACTCCCGCCATGGTTAATAACTCCTTAGAGACGGCTGTTTCCCTTCATTCAAAAAGCCTTAGTGCACAGCCGAGTTCAGGCAGTAGGAAAGGAGGGAATGAGGCTGCTTCAAGAAACAGAGCCCTCAGGGCTGTCACTGTGGTGCAGCGGGTAAAGCCACCACCTGCAGTGCCAGCATCCCATATGGACACCAGTTCTAGGCCTGGCTGCTCCTCTTCCCATCCAGCTCTCTGCTATGGCCTGGGAAAGCAGAGGAGGATGGCCCAAGTGCTTGGGCCCCTGCACCCACATGGGAGACCTGGAAGAAGCTCCTGGCTCCTGGCTTCAGATCAGCTCCAGCCATTGCAGTCATCTGGGGAGTGAACCAGCAGATGGACGACTGCTCTCTCTCTCTCTGCCTCTCCTTCTCTTTGTGTAACTCTGACTTTCAAATAAACAAATAAATCTTAAAAAAAAAAAAAAACAGAGCCCTCAGCTTCGTTCCATGCCTGCGCTCCATCAGAAGCAGCTTTCTAGCCCAGCTCCTGCTTCAGAGTAAGTCCTGCAGAGAGCCGAGGTCAGACCAAAATATCTCCGGAAGGAAATACATTTTCCTGCTTCATTCAGAACAAAACCAAACCCTTTAGGAATGATTTCTCTACTTTAGTAATATGAAAAAATATATTTAAGCCAAAGTGAAGGAGGTTACAACTCGAGCTGAGAACCTGGGAAGGAGGAAAGGGTTGGGAGCGGCTCACCTTCACGCTGGGCAGGTAGACTAACCCGCTGAAGGAGGTCAGGTTATTGTTCTGCAGATTCACGCTGCACACACTTCTAAACTGGTCCACTGGAATCAGATCCACAGTCCTGAGTTCAGACAAAGCAGACAGAGTTATGGAAAATAATAACCGAGAAACCAAAATAATAACTAATACGCCACAAAATATAAACCAAAGTCAAGTTTCTTCACATACAACTTCCAAAGGCACCTTTAAAAGGTCTTGTATGACAAACATGGGAAGAATAACTGCCTGAGTGTAAAATGTATGGGGCAGATGATGGACAAATGCATATTTTTCTCGAGCTCATGTTTAAGAAAATGACAGAATTTGATTGCTTTTGAAAATATATCTGTTATCAGATAAATGTGCCACCACTGTAGAAGAAACTTATAAAATAACACATCTCTTTTTTTTATAAATTCGTATATATGAAATTGTTGGGAATGAAATGATATGGTAAGTCATAAGTCCAGACTGTAAACCTCACTGGATAAATGTGAGCTCTGTTATTTCTGAAATGTCAGGAAGAGATTAGGAATCGGAAAAGAAAAGGAAACAGCATGTGAAGTCTTTGAAAAGAGACTTTTCAGGGTGGGGGGTGTTCTGAAAATTTATTGACATCCCATTCATGTGATGTCTTGCTAATTACACAGAATGCTTGATTCCTAGAGCCTGCTAACAGAGCTGCTCTGCCTTCACCCAGCCTTGACAAAGAGGAGCACATGGCTAGCTCACTGCTCTCTAACCATTTCTTAAATCCTGAGCCTGAAGTCACATGACATATTTTTATCCAATAAAAATCCTTCGTTCAACATATTTCCATTAATATTTCCTAAGTGCAGATGACGTGTTTGGAAAGGCTACAAAAAGGTGGAAGAAACTCTGCTCTCAAGAATTAGAAGTGGGATTCAGGAAAAGTAAAGCAAGAAGGAAAATTGTGACCACAGTCAGGTATGCTTGCGTTTTAGGAAAAAGAGTTCAAGCTTTTGAGGAAGTTGCTGTGGTAGAGGATGACAGCACAGACGAGGAAGAACTTGAGATGAGACCTGGAGGATCTCTAAGTGTTTGTCAGGCAAATTAGGAAAGAGCTCCAGGCAGTGCAAGAGGCACAAACAAAGGCAGTGGCTTGAAACAGCACCTTCTAATTGAGATCGAGGAACTAGAGTATTTCAGAATTTCTAAGCTATGATGAGTCACGGGCAGAGAAGGTCGATTCCATGAGGTGAGAACTGCTCCAGCCACCCAGAGGGACTTTAAACTATTCCAGTGTACACAAGGACAGCCACGCACACGCTGGGAACAGAAGTCATCGGGAAACTTGCGCTTTACAGAGCAGCACGGGCAGGAGGTGGTGTTTAGGGAAGCCTTATGTGAGCCAAACAGCACAAAGATCACCAAGAGCGTTTCTAAAATAGTTCATTGCCTAACCTAGGCCACAGCAGTGACGGTGGAAACAGAGAGGAATTATGAGGCATACTTAAAACACAGACTCTGTAGAACTTGGTGATGAATTGAAACTGGAGGACAAAGGACAGAAAGCAATGACTCCGATTTTCCTTAGACTGCTTTGGCTTGGGAACAACAGGTAGGTGTCACCTCCTAGAGAGCAATTTAGGTGAAGATTAACAATGATAAATTTGGGGATTAATGCCATAAGTTAAAACTATGAGGGCTGGTGCTATGGTGTAGCAGGTAAAGCCGCCACCTGCAGTGCCAGCACCCCATATGGGCATCGGTTCAAGTCTCGGCTGCTCCACTTCCTAACCAGCTCTCTGCTATGGCCTGGGAAAGCAGTGGAAGATGGACCACGGCTGGGTCCCTGTACGCATGTGGGAGACCTGGAGGAAGCTCCTGGCTCCTGGCTTCAGATTGGCACAGCTCTGGTCATGGTGGCCATTTGGGGAGTGAACCATCAGATGGAAGACCTCTCTCTCTCTCTCTGAAAGTCTGCCTTTCAAATAAATAGATAAATATTAAAAAAAAAAAAACTATGGCTAAAGGTAAGTCTACCCATGAAGAGTACCAAATTTTAAAAAGATGAGAGAAATGGAGAAGGAATTACAAGAGAAAAGTTCGAGAAGGGAACAAAAGAGGAGAATAAAATTCAGAAAGTAAGAAAACCAGGGAAGCTCACAGGAAAATCAATACCTGAAATAGCAGGGTGTGCAGGGGGCGGGGGGGGGAGAAGGAGGTAAGTTCAAGAAGGGGGCTCACATTCTCACAGGCCTCAGGGGGGACAAGGTAGATGAGAACTAACCACCGTCCACAGGGTGTGCTCACCGGGAGGGTGGAGGTGCCAAGAGGAGAATAGTATCAGAGGAACAGCAGCAGTGAAGGGGACACGGCATTGGAGGGGATTACACTGATAGGATACAAGAGCAAACCAAGTATGTCCTAAGTTCAAAAATGTGCTTGTAACATAAAAGAGAAGCACAAAACCAGAGAAAGACATTGCTAACAACAATTATTTATTTTTTGAGAGGCAGAAAAACAGAGAGAGAGAGAGAGACAGGCAGACAGGCAGGGAGGGAGGGCTTTTATTCATTGGTTTACTCCCCAGATGCCTGCAAAGTCCAGAGTTGGGCAGAGCCAGGACAGGGACAAAGCCAGGAGAGGGGAACACAACCCAGGATTCCCACATGCGCGGCAGGAGCCCCACTCCTTGAGCCACCGCCTCCCAGGGTCTGCACTGGCTGGATGTGGAGTCAGGAGCCAGAGCCCAGAAGCAAACCCAAGCAAACAGCTGTGCTTAAGGCTCACTGCCTGGTGATGTTTTTAATCACTCTCTGTTAATGAGAATTATTAATGCATTTCAAATAACGGTAAAGTTACCATGAGATCTTAAAGTAGAGCAGATGATATTACAAATTGTTGGTTTCATTTAGATAAGAGGTACTATTGGGGATGGGTGTTCGGCACAGTGGTTGACGCCACTTGGGATGTCCACCTCCTGTATTACAGGTTCAAGTTCCAGCTCTGCTCCGATGGCAGCTTCCCGCTCATGTGCACCCTGGGAGGCAGCAGAAGATGGCTCAAGTGCTTGGGTCCCTGCCACCCACAGAGGAGCCCCAGAGCGAATTCTCTGCTCCCGCTCTGGCCCAGCCTTGACCATTGTAGGCATTTGGGGGGTGAGCCAGTGGATGACAGACTTCCGTCTGTCTGTTTCTCTGCCTTTCACACAAATAAAGTAAGTTAAAAAAATGTTCAAGTGTATGAACTTCAGAAAATGACAATAATAATTACATTTTAATTATGATATTAAAAGCATAAATAAAATGATTGTGTGTGAGGAGACATGGCCACCCTGATTTGAACATTATTCAATGTATACATGTATGAAAACATTACATGGTACCACATAAATATGTACAATTTAATCTCTCAATTAAAAAAAGAAAAAGTAAGTGAAAATAAAATGACTGCACCTGATAGATGATGAAGTCCAATTTAATTCTTGCATCTGGATGAAGTTTGAATGTCCTTGTCGTTCTGCAATCATGTCAGAAGTGAGTCTGCCACCAAACAAATCCTTTGCACACTCGGTCTCTAGCTGATCCTATGTGAAGACAGTTAGACGGTGATGTCCTCTCTTGCAGATGACAGAGCCAGTCACTGTCTGGCCCCAGGCAATTTCTCTCTATTCCACCTACTAAGTACAGCTGAACCTCCTGCACAAAATGGATACTAAAAATCCACAGTTCTGGCTGTTCTATTTCCCGTCCAGCTGCCTGCTAACGCTCTTGAGAAGCAACAGAGGATGGCTCAAGTGCTCAAGTTCTTGCCACTCGCAAGGGAGATCTGGATGGAGTTCTCGACCTGGTTTCAGCCTGGCCCAGCCCTGTCTGCTATGGCCATCTGGGGCATGAACCAGCAGATGACAGGTCTCTTTCTCTCTCTGTCTGTCTCTGTCACTCTGCCTTTGAAAGAAATAAAGCTTTTTTACTTATTTTACATAGGAACTCTGAAAGCTGCTATGGAGAACAGACCTTCAAGGGACCTTCAGTATTTAAAAGGACACCTGGATTTTCTTTTTACTTTTTGCCTCACATATTCCTGATTGGTTTCTGGAAAAGTCAGGAACCCAGAAATGTCAACAGAGAAAACAAAAAGTCCAAAAAAAAAAAAAATCCTGCTTTCCCTAGTCAAATGATCACAAACAGGGAGCCCCAGAGAGATAAGACTTTCAGACAGTAACAGGTCTGCTCCAGCTACACTCCAGACTAAATCGTGGTTCCACCCACCCTGTGAGTCCCACTGCGGGCTTGGCATCTCCAATCAGAGGAGCTACTATTGACCAAGAGTCAGTGTGTCTAACACTAATCATCTTATTCCCCCAAACCACTTTTTTTTTTCCTATTTTCAATTTCTGCCATGATATCTTTTACTGACAGACTCAAACCTTCAAGAGATCTTTTACTCTGCCTTTCCCATGTGCTTCAAAGCCTATAAGTTGGCAAAATTCTGTTAATTCTCCCCAGCACTGCTCCTACCTTTCAGGTGGCTGTTTCTAAAGCTACTTCCCCCTGGTTCAGGCCCCCGTCACCTCACACCTAGACGATGCGAACAGCTTCCTCCTAGTCTTCCCTCTGCCACTGCAAACACCGCTGTTACATTTCTTATACACAGTTCTGAGTATAACACCCCCTGCTCAAAGCTCCAGCACATTTCCATGACTTCTCATCGGCTCTAAATTCTTCACTTTACTCTTCATGCTCTGTGATTAACCCAAATATTTATATTCTATCTCATTTCAGGAAGAGTTTGTGGAAGCTTACAGGAAACAATATAATCAAACAGTAAAATGCAAATCATAAATAATGAAAATCAAGACCAGTAACAATGTAAGTTAGAGCAGATGAAAACTAGAGTAAGGGCAGACATCATAAAATCCTACACAGTATCTACTATTGAGCCATACATTTGGCCTGAGGTTTTAGGTAGTCAAACTGAAACAGAAAATAGTTCAATAATATTCATTTTTAGGGAGCAGAATATAATTTTTCCTTGGGGAAAAAGTTATTTTGTATACTTATCTCTAACTTTAAAAAAATTGTTGATGGTGGGTGGGGGAAGACAGATAAAAAGAGAGAGAGTGAGAGAGAGAGAATGCATGCTCCCATCTACCTGCTCATTCTCCAAATGCCCTCAGCAGCTGGCTTTGGGCCAGGATGAAGCTAGGAGCTGAGAACTCAATCCAGGTCTCTCAAGTATATGACAGGGACCCAAGTACTTGAGCCATCACCATTGCCTCCTAGGGTCTACACTGGCAGGAAGCTGGAGTTGAGAGCTGAAGGTGGGCATCAAATCCAGGTACTCCAATAAACGATGCAAGAATCTTAACAGGTGTCTTACTAGCAGGTCAAACACTCACCCCTACACTTACCTCTGAGAGTACTTTCTTGAGCCAGGTGCTGTGGTGTAGCAGGTTAAGCTGCCGCCAGCAGCACTGGCATCCCATATGGACACCGGTTCGAGTCCCGGCTGCTCCACTTCCAATCCAGCGCCCTGCTAATGCAACTGGGAGAGCAGCAGAGGATGGCCCAAGTGCTTGGGCTCCTGCACCCCCATGGGAGACCTGGAAGAAGCTCCTGGCTCCTGGCTTCCGATCAGCTCAGTTCCAGAGTTATGGCTATTTGGGGAGTGAAGCAACAGGTGAAAGACCTCTCTCTCTATCTGTAATTCTGCCTTTAAAAATAAATTAAAAACAAAAAGTACTTTCTCATGTGGCCCTTCAAATGAGGACGCACAAAGATAAGATTCTCAACAGTATTTTTAGAGCAAACACAGTACTAGGCTTTTCTCTTTATAAAATTTGTATTTATTTGTTTGAACAGCAGAGTGACACAAAGAGAGAGAGAGAGAGTCTTCTATCTACTGGGTCAATCCCCAAATGGCCATAACAGCCAGGGCTCTGCCAAGCGGAAGCCAGGTGCTGGGAACTCCATCCAGGTCACCCACATGCCTGGCAAGAACTCAAGTACTTGGACCACCATCCACTGCTTCCCAGGCCCATTAGCAGGGGGCTGGATCTGAATCGGAGTTCCTGGGAGTTGAACTGGCACTGCAATAGGGGATGCGGGCATCCCAAATGGCAGTGTAACCCACTGTGCCACAACCCAAATATTAGTTTCATAAGACTGTTTTTAAAATGTCCCTCACTGAAAGCTAGAAACAGACAAACCCCAGTATCTAAAGTTCCAGACTATGTGTCGTATCTGTTGGAGCAAGAATATTTGCGATTCTCCCTACCAAGGAGAAAGAGAAAAGACGCCCGACAAAAGAGGGCTGGGCTTAGTCTTCTAAGGGTCTCAGAGGCCCTCAGGGAACGTGGTGAGGTCTGTCGTCTCAGTGGATCCAGGCGACCACACAGGAGCTCTTTTCTCCCTCACACGTTGTCACACATGTCTCCCTTACGCGGTGACCAGGACTTGCTAGTTACAGAATCCAAGGCTCCAATTTTTTTTTAACTCAGCCTCAGGCTCTGTGCTTATTTTTTTTTTTTCATAGTTTCCTAGTAATTCATATAACTACACACGTTGGCTCAAAGGCACTTTTCTTACATATTAACAGGTGTATTTTTCTAGGAAATGGTCAGCTGTTTGGCGGCTCAAGAGGATAGCAGGAACTCTCCCATAACATGGTGCACTTCACTTGCAGGCACTGACCTAGTGGGTATGAATGTAATCAGCTGCTTCCCTCAACTTAGACAAGTAGGCACTGGCCAGACAAGAAACTCGCAAATCCTACATCTAAAACGAGCATGAAGAATAGCAAGCTTGGGTATCATGCAAGTGATACAGCAATACTCCAAGTGAATAATGGCTATGGATATGAGACCATGTAACTAGGACCGAATGCTATGGGGCATAAAAAATACTCACAATGGAGATTCCATCCAAGGCTTTCAGTTCCGGAAGGTGAAATACTACAAACAACCGGTAGTTTTCTTGATTCCAAACAATAATGTTTCCATATATGTCTAGAATGACCAAGTTGTATAAACCCTAGGTAATAAAATTCATACTTTTATTTATACATATCACATTCCAGAAAAATTTCTTTTCCTGCAAGAGGTCAGCACCCTTGAATTTAAGAGTGCTGTGAAGAGCACTCTAAGTGCAAGTGAGCCTTTCAGACTACTGCAGTATAATTTTGTGCAATATTTCCGTGGACTGTGTGTGTATGACCAGTATCAGTGGTAATGTCTCACTGGGAACTCTGACATGCGTCAGACACTACGTTTGTTTATGGGCTACTGGCTTATTAAATGGTGCGTACGGATGTGTGTATCCAGATACAAGAGGAATGAAGAGACACTGCCATTTGAAAAGGGACGAAACTGACGCGCTTCTGCCTTCTAGGGGAGAGAGCGGAGTTCAACTTAAGAGAAAATGTGCGCTGTTATTAAAGCGAACATGGCGATGTGCCGGTCTTGAGGGAGGGGCTCTGAGCAGGCGTGGGCAGGAGGAGAGAGTAAAACTTCTCTTGTTTAATACTGACGTTGCCACTGGTTAGGTTGCCTCTGTGGCTTTAGAGGCAGTAATCCTGTTTGGGGATAAGATGGGGAGAAGATTGAGTGTGAAGAAAGGAAACACACACACACACACACATGGGAGGGGGCTAGAGAAAAGTCCTAGCTCTATTGGATCCACCCAAGGAGAGGCTAAGATGGTGCTAGGAAGTGGCCACTGCACTACAGAAACAACGAAGTCACACATGACATCTGAAGTGCGTTCCTGTTCTGTGCTCCAGAAACCCTCCATTTTGTCCAGACCTTTAGTAAAATCTTGTTACACAGTGGCCTTGGACCAGAGGTCTCTTTAGAGAATTAAAGAAAGCAAAGTTAAGCTGAGGTGACCCGAGAGCGGGGGAGGCACTGGTTAGGAACACTGAGAGATAATCAAGAATCATATTGAGAAGAGGAGACTATTAAAGAACCCTGCCCCACAGCCAGGCTGCAGACTCCCTGGCTATACTGAAGGGAAGGGGTTTAGGCTGAGTATTTTAAAAGTGTTAGCCCAGGAGGTTGTCAAATCGAGAACATTATGGTAACGCATACATAGGGCTGTAAGTACACGTAAATTAAATACAAATACATTTTAATAGCCTCATTCTTATTCTTCTTTATATTTTTCTACATTTTCCAAATTTTGCACGCTGAACATGTGTTACTTTCACAGTATAAACAACGACAATTTTATAAGATCGAGAAGTTGCTACCCTAGAAGGTCACCTTTAGATTGTAGATTTCCTGATTGAGAGCAATGTAGTTATTGCTGATATACAATTCAATCAGAGTAAAAATTTTTTGTAAGCCACTCAGCGATGTGATTCTGTTGTTCTCAAGAGAGAGAGAGTGAAGATGGAGCATGTTATCGAAAGCATGCTTTTCCAAACCAGTCAGGAGATTATTGTTTATGCTGAGACGGGTTAATTTAGTCAGCTTGGAAATGCCTAGAAAGACAAGCAAATTCAAGAAAAGGTTCAAACAGCACTGGAAAGTTAGCTCAAAAACAATTTGCGGATCATTTTATTACTACTCTTTTTCCAAGATCAAATGTCTTTAAGGTTCTACAATATTCGCCATCAGTGTTTTCTTCTGTTTTAGGAGCACATACACATCCCCCTGTCAACCGCAGGGTGCACACTGGGGCCTGAACTGCATCCAGTGGGATAAGCTGCCTCCTCTGATGCCTGCATCCCACACGAGGGGATGTTCAAGTCCTGGATGCTCCCCTTCCAATCCAGCTCCCTGCTAACGTGCCTGGGAAGACGGCAGAGGATGGCTCGAGTGCTTGGGCCCCTGCCACCCGTATGGGAGATCTGGATGGAGTGTCAGACTCCTGGCTTCTATCTGGTCCAGCTCTGGCCTTTGTTGCCTTTAGGGGAATGAACTAGTGGATGGACGACCTCTGTCCATCCCTCTCTCTCTGTAACTCTGCCTTTCAAATAAATAATAAAAAGAAAAATAAATAATAAAAATATTTTTAAAGATTTATTAATTATTTGAAAGGCAGAGTTACACACAGAGAGAAGGAGAGGCAGAGAAAGAGAGGTCTTCCCTCCGCTAGGTCACTACCCAATTGACCACAACAGCCAGAGCTGTGCCGATCTGAAGCCAGGAGCCAGGAGCTTCCTCCAGGTCTCCCATGCAGGTGCAGGGGCCCAAGGACTTGGGCCATCTTCTACTGCTTTCCCAGGCCATAGCAGAGAGCTGGATCAGAAGTGGAACAGCCGGGACTTGAACCAGTGCCCATATGGGATGCCGGCACTGCAGGCAGTGGCTTTACCCACTACACCACAGTGCCGGCCCCATAAATAGATTTTTTTTTTTTAATGGTGCACACTTGTGGATACTGCTTTTTAATTCCTAGGAGTTATGTATCCCTTTGAGTAGACAGAGATGGAGAATAGAGGAAGTTGCTGGCAAGTCACGGAAGGCTTCTTCCCAGGTGCAGAGCACTAAGGGTAAGAATAAAATAAAGCTGATAGTGAGTCAGAAACTACTTCACTTCACATGTTCCAGACATGCCCTCTGAGCTCCTTATTTTTAGCCACAGCTAAGCATAAACCTAAATGAAGGCTACAGGAAGTTTGGAAAGGGGAGGGGAAAAAGTCCCTTTTATTCTCTCCAGCCCAGAATGATATGTTTTAATATAGATATTTAAAAATAATAAATGGTTGGTGCCGCGGCTCACTTGGCTAAATCCTCTGCCTGCGGCGCCGGTACTCTGGGTTCTAGTCCCGGTTGGAGCGCCGGTTCTGTCCCGGTTGCCCCTCTTCCAGGCCAGCTCTCTGCTGTGGCCCGGGAAGGTAGTGGAGGATGGCTCAAGTGCTTGGGCCCTGCACATGCATGGGAGAGCAGGAGGAAGCACCTTGCTCCTGGCTTTGGATCGGCGCAGTGCACCGGCCATGGCGGCCATTTGTGGGGTGAACCAACGGAAGGAAAACCTTTCTCTCTGTCTCTCTCTCTCACAGTCTAACTCTGCCTGTCAAAAATAAATAAATAAATAAATAAATAAATAAAAAATAAAAATAATAAATAAAATATTATATTGGTCTCCTATTAATCATCAGACAGTACTAATGTTGCTTAATTGAGCTTTATGTGGATCCACACTTGTTATAGCACACCAGTATATAGTATATTTGATTTTCAACCTCCAGGGAACATGATTTGTGAAAGTCTTTGTATTTCCAAATATAATCCCAATTCTGCATTTGGCAAATGGATTGGGCTGTCTTACCTTCTTCTGAGGCTTACCTCCAGAGAAGGCCTTTAGCCCAGCAGTTAAGATGTCCTTGTCCCATAATAGAGCCCTTGGGTTCAATTCCCAGTCCTAGCCCCTGACTCCAGCTTCCTGCCAGTGCAGACCATAGGAGGCAGTGGGGACGACTCAAGTAACTGGGTTCCTACTGCCCACATGGAAGGCCTGGATTGAGTTCCCAACTCCCGGCTCCTAGCTCTGGCCCTGGCCCACCCCTGGTTGTTGTGGTCACTTGAGGAGTGAATGAGTGAATGGGAGCTCTCTCCCTCTCTGCTTTCTCAAATAAAAATAATAACAAAAAACGTTAAAAAAGAATATCTCATTCATTCCTGTATTCAGCCTTACAGATGTGAATGACTACCTTACTTGTATGTGCTAGGCTTGGTAACATGGTTGGCACTGGCATGGAGGAGAGAGAAGGCTTGCTGGTCTCATTAGATAGGTAGTCACAAAGTCCACTTGTAGGTCTTTAAAACACTCTGCTCCAAACCTTCTTGGACCCTCTCTGGACGTTGTCCTCTCCTGTCCTCAGGGTAGACATCTGGCTTACTGGTTAAGAGGCCAGCATCCTACATCGGATGGGTTCAATTCCCAGCTCTGGCTCCTGAATCTAGCCTCCTGCCCATGCAGACCCTGGGAGGCAGTGGGGATGGCCCAATAACTGTGTTCCAGCCACTCATGTGGGAGACCCAGACTGAGTTCCCATCTCCCAGTTTTGGTCCTGGCAAAGAGGCTACTGTAGGCATCTGAGGAGTGAACCAACAGATGTGAGTGCTCTACCCCACCCCTCTTCCCTCCCTCCAATGAATTGTAAAAACAAAAACGTAGTTCCGTCCTCAATGCACCCTTTGCTTTTCTCGTGTAGACATTCATATTTTGAGAGGTAAGAGTTCTCAGATATCTTACCCTCTATCTTTGAGATGCAGTTCCCATCTAATATGAGCTCTTCCAAGTTAATGCAGGATTCCAATCCCTCCATTTTAGTGAGATGATTGTCGCTGAATGATGCCCACTTCAAGTTCTCTAATTTTTCTAAATTTGTGATTTCAAAGAGATGCTGTCCATCTAAATTTAAGGCAGTTATCTAAAGAATAATTCACATTATATGTTACTTCTGAATCCTGTAAATAAATTCAATGTTATAAGATAAAAAAAAAAGTCTAGGAAGATAACGCAAATGCTGTAAATAGATGTCAAAGAATTCCTTCAGGAATTAAAGCATCATGAAGCTCTTAGTTTATAAAAAAGTAAAACCTGACTGGACTGGACCTCCACAAGGGACTCTTATGGTATTATGGGCACCGTGATGTGCCAACCAGATTCCACTGCAGTGATGCACTTGTCCCAGCTGCTGGGACCATGGCTGGCAGAGAGCCCACAGCTGTCATCCTTTAGGGTCAGACTCTGCTGCAGACAGCTGCCTTACCCAAGGTCACACGGTTTCCCAGGTTGGCCCACAGCCAGTGATGGGCAGCTATAAAGGCCTGGCCATCTCAGCTCAACTTGGAACAAGTTTAGAGGGCCATTCTAATTCTGGAACTCCCTGTGGATTCATCCAAGGCTGGCATTGGACCTTCATCACAGCTCAATATCAGTATACATCCCACAGCAAACATCATGCCACTAACATTGTCCATTTTCAAGGGCTCCTCCTAGCGCAGTTTCTACCTTTGGCACCTTTGGCAGTAAGAAGCTGCTGGACACCCGCTCCTTTATCCTTGGCTGACTTCTGTCTCATGAACCTATCCCTTGCCAGGTTTCCTCATCCCTTCCCTCCCCCATTTTGGCATGATCTCTGGTTCTGAACTGTAATCCCTGCTTGCATTGGTGACACAGTGTCGGAATCCCCCCTTTAGTTTGCAGGATGACCTTATCCTAGATCTCCAAGTCTGTGGTGACAACTGAGGCCTGGCCCCCAGGACATGCCTACCCACAACTTGGCCTTGCTATTTTTTTTAAAGTGTTTAGAATGTGGTAGATTTATTACAATTTTTCTAATAATAACATTATCCTGTGTGTTATATACATGTTATATATTAAATACATTATAATATCATTATTTTTAATAATTAAAATAATATTTCCAAATTTAATGAGGTATAATTGACAATTTAAAATTATATATATTTAAGGTATACAATTTGATTTGAGATACAGATGTGTATATATATATACACACATATATATAACATGAATTAAATACTGCATGATCTTAATTATATGTGGAATTTAAAACAGTCAGACTTACAGAAGCAGAGAGTACAATGGTGTTTCCAGGGGCTGGGGGCAGAGGAGAAATGGGGAGATGTTGGTCAAGGGGTGTGAAGTTTCAGTCCTGCAGATAAGTTCCAGATATCTAACGTGCAACACTATGACTAACGCTTCCAACATGACATTGTACACTCGATACTTGCTAAGAGGGTAGGTCTTTATGTTTCCTCATTTTATTTTAACTCACCTCTTCCGGTTTTCTGTCCCTTACCCTTTATGACACATATGCAAAGTCTGATTAGAAAAATAAATTTCAATTACATTTTTATATTAGGTTTAGAAATTAGCCTTTACCTTCAAGTACCAGTTTCCACTCAGATGTACATGTGGTCCCACCTTTGAAATCTGTGTCAGAATCTTTGCAGAAGGCCATATGGTAAGTACTCGTGGTCTTTCCTCTTTAGTACTACAATGTCGTAAAACAGACAACTAATAAAATAAAAAACACATGATGAGTCAATGGAGTTACATAGATTTATTTCTATACAGTTAGAAGGAATTGTTTTCTAAGGGAGATGAGTGGCTCAATAAAGGATTTTAAAATATGACATTTCAATTATCTTGAGCTACTTATAATATCAGGAGATACTTTTAGTTATTCATTTTATGGTTTTAGCAAATATTGACCCATTACAAGAAAATGCTTGTAAGACTGTGAATGGATTACTACAATACAAACACCCACAAAATCCACCCATGAAACCAACATAAGAGCCAGCATATTACTAATACCCTCCAAGCTCCCTGTGTGCCTCATCCTAAGACTTTCCTTCTCCTTCCCTTTGGAAGTGATCACCATCTCAAATATTTGTCTAACATTCATTTGCTTTTCTTTTCCCAAAGAAACCTTTTATTTAAGGGATACAAATTTCTTAAGTACAACTTTAAGAATATAGTGATTCTTCCCACCATACCTGCCCTCCCACCTACACTCCCACCCCTCCTCCTTCCCCCTCTACCCTTCCCAGTCCCATTCTCCATTAAGATTCATTTTCAATGAACTGTGTACTCAGAAGAACAACTCTATACTAAGTAAAGATTTCAACAATTTGCACACACACAAAACTGTTTGAGAACAAGTTTTACAGTTAACTCCCATAATACAACTCATTGAGGACAGAGGTCCTGCATGGGAAATTAGTGCACAGTGACTCCTGTTGTTAATTTAACAATTAACACTCTTATGTATTACATCAGTGACCACCTGAGGCTCTTGACATAAGCTGACTAGGCTATGGAAACCTTTTGAGTCCACAAACTCCATCAGTATTTACACAAGGTCAAAAGCAAAGTAGAAGTTTTCTCCTCCCCTCAGGGAAAAGTCATCCTTCTTTGATGGCCAATTCTTTCTGCTGGGGTCTCAACTCACAGAGATCCTTCATGTAGAACATTTTTTTGCCAGTGTGTCTTGGCTTTCCATGCCTGAAATGCCCTCATGGGCTTTTCAGCCAGACCAGGAAGCCTTAAGAGCTTATTCTGAGGTCAGAGTGCTACTTAAAGTGATTGTCATTCTATGAGTCTGCTGTGTGGGCTGCTTCCCATGTTGGAACATTCTCTCCTTTTTAATTCTATCTATTATTATTATTACCAGACACTTGATCCTATTTATATGATTAGGTTAAGAATCCTATCTGTATGTTAAGTTTAGCATTTAACATGATCACTTAAACACTTAAGATGGCATTTTTACCAGCCAGCTTAATGGGATTTGGCAAGTTTTTAAATTGCACCCTTAGAAGCAACTCTAGAAATGTATGCAGAACTGTACAGCTTTAGAGTTACAAATTTCCTCCTCCCTCTCTTTTTCTTCCTCTTATTTTTTAATGAGATCCATCCTCAATTGACTTTATACACATATGAAACTCTATGTTAAGTAAAGAGTTCAACAAATATTATGAAGAAGAAAAAAAAAAACTGTTCCTCGACAGTCAAGACAAGGGCCACTCAAGTCATCCCTAATTGAAGTATCAATTTCAATTCTACAAATTTTGCTTTAGGTGCTCTGTTAGTTCTCAAAGATCAGGGAGAACATATGGTATTTGTCCCTTTGGGACTGGCTTATTTCACTAAGTATGATGTTTTCCAGATTCATCCATTTTGTTGCAAATGACCAGATTTCATTTTTTTTTACTGCTGTGTAGTATTCCATAGTGTACATATCCCGTAATTTCTTCATCCAGTCTTTGATGGCATTTAGGATGAATTCATGCCTTAGCTATGTGATTTAAGCTGAAATAAACATGGGGTGCAGATAACTTTTTACTTACTGATTTCATTTCCCTTGGGTAAATTCCCAGGAGTGGGATGGCTGGGTCATATGGTAGGTCTATATTCTGCTTTCTGAGGTTTCTCCATACAGTCTTCTATAGTGGCTTTACCAGTTTACATTCTCACCAAGAGTAGATTAGGGTACCTTTTCCCCCACATCCTTGCCAACATTTGTTGTTTGTTGATTTCTGTATGAAAGCCATTCTAACTGAGGCGAGGTGAAACCGCATTGTGTTTTTTTTTTTTTTTAAGATTTATTTATTTACTTGAGTAACACAAAGAAAGAAGGAGAGACAGAGAGAGAGAGAGAGAGAGAGAGAGAGAGGTCTTCCATCAACTGGGTCACTCCCCAATTAGCCACAATGGCCAGAGCTGTGCTGATCAGAAGCCAGGAGCCAGGAACTTCTTCCAGGTCTCCCAGGCTGGTGCAGGGGCCCAAGGACTTGGGCCATCTCCCACTGTTTTCTCAAGCCATACAGCTCTCTGTAGTAATTTCTGATGATTCTTTTTATTTCCTTTTTCATCTCTAATTTTATTGATTTGGGTCTTCTCTCTCCCTTTTTTAGTTAGTTGGGCCAATGGTGTGTCAATTTTGGTTATTTTTTCAAAAAACCAGCTCTTTGTTTTGCTGATCTTTTTTTTTTTTTGTTCAATTTTGTTGATTTCTCCTCTAATTTTAATTATTTCTATTAGTTTTGGGTTTGGTTTGCTGTTGTTTTTCTAGATCCTTGAGATGCATTGATGACTCATTTATTTGGTGCCTTTCCAATTTCTTGATGTAGGCACCAATTGCAATAGATTTTCCTCTTAGCACTGCTTTTGCTGTATCCCATAAGTTTTGATATGTTGTATTGTCATCTACATTTGTTTCCAGAAACTTTTTGATTTCTCTTTTGATTTCCTCTATGACCCACTGTTCATTCAGGAGCATGTTGTTCAGTCTCCATGTGTTTGATTTCCAGCTTCATTCCATTGTGATCTGAGAAGATGCATGGTATGATTTTGATTTTTTTTTTCAATTTGCTGAGACTTGCTTTATGGCCTAGCATGTGGTCAATCCTAGAGAAAGTTCCATGCATTGCTGAGAAAAATCTGTATTCTGCAACTATAAGATGAAAAGCTCTGTAGATAACTGCTAGATTCATTTGGTCTATAGTGTCGATTAAATCTGCTGTTTCCTTGCTGATTTTCTGTCTGGCTGATTTTCCATTGCTGAAAGTGGGATATTAAAATCCCCCATTACTATTGTATTTGAGTCTATGTCTCCTTTCAGATCACTTAACATCTCTTTTAAATAGCCAGGTGCTTTGTAATTAGGTATATATACATTTATAATAGTTACATCTTCCTGTTGAATTAATCCCTTAATCATAACATAGTGTCCTTCTATGTCTCTTTTAACAATTTTTGTGTTAAAGTCTATTTTGTCTAATATTAGGATGGCTACACAGGCTTTTTTTATTTCTGTTAGCATGGAATATCTTTTTCCATCCTTTCACTTTTCAGTCTGCGTGCATCTTTGTTGGTGGAATGTGTTTCTTGCAGGCAGCAAATAGATGGATTTTGTTTTTTTTTAATCCATTCAGCTAGTCTGTGTCTTTTAACTGGAGAGTTGAGGCACTTACATTCAAGGTGACTATTGATAAGTAATGATTTTGCCCTGCCATTCTTACATATTCCTATTTTTTACTTTGGATTTCTTTTGTACTTTCATTGAGAGATTTTTCTTCCTTTAACTTCTTTTGTAGTGATGACCATGTTTCTGTGTTTCTATGTGCAGCACATCCTTAAGCATCTTCTGCAGGGCTGGGTGGGTGGTAACAAATTCTTTCAATTTCTGTTTGTTATGGAAGCTTTTTATTTCATCTTCATTAATAAATGAGAGTTTTGCAGGATATAGTATTCTGGATTGACATTCTTTTTCTATTAAGGCTTGGAATATATCTCACCATTCTCTTAGAATCCATATGTTGGGTCATTTGATAGTATCCTGTAAATTACCAACAGTGTTTTTTAGTTTTCTAATTTCTTGTTGTTTTTGGTTTACTGTATAATTTCCTATGCTCTGTCTTCTAAGTCAGATAGTCTTTCTTCTGTTTCACTGATTCTATTGTTAAGGCTTTCCACTGCTTTTTTAAAAATTTGTTTTATTGAATTATTCATTTCATTTTGATTTCTCTTTAAGATCTAAATTTTGTGGGAGAAATTTTCTTTCATGTCATGTATGAATTTCAGTAGTTCATGCATTTGCTTCTGATTACTTCTCTTTTTTTAAAAGATTTATTCTTGCTTCTTGAATTAGTGTGTTTGTTATTCGACATTTGTGGAGATACTCCTTGGTTTCTTTTTTTTATTTTTTTCACTGTGGCTGTTTTTATCTTTGTACTATGCCTCTTTAGATTCATGGACTGTCTGCTTTCTGTGATTATCTAGAGGTGTGTGGTAGGTATGGCCGGGGAGCTCTGTTCAGTCTTCCAGGGTAAAGGGCATGTCTAAGATGACACACCCAGATCTGGCATGGTAAATCTCTCAGTTTTTTTTTTTTTAAATCAGAGATCAGAGGAGAGGTTTATTCTGCTCAGCTGAGCTCCTCTCCTCAATGGAAACCAGTGCCCAAGTGCTAGCCCCAGTGGGTATATTTGTCTGCTCTGCCACAAGGACTACGCAAAGGATCTGTGCAGTCCTCAGCGTAAGCTCAGACTCCCAGCAATGCCCCTTACCAGGTAACCAGGGAGCCCTGAGCATGTTGAGTCTCCCACAGTGACTGCCCAAAGTCCCAACAACACCATGAGCCCTCACACACAGCCTCAGTTTTCATAGTCCTGGCACACAAGCCTCCCACAGTCATGAGTACCCAGCTCCCTGTTAGTTCTCTCCACCAGAGTCAGGAGTCTCAACTCAGCTGGTTGCTGGGTGCAGACATGAGCTGGTGCAGCTGTTATGTATGCCCAAAATGGTGCCCACTCTATTGGCTTGTTTCAGGATGCTGTTGCAAGGTGATTGGAGAGAGAGAGAAAGGTGCCCCTCTTTTTTTTTTTTTTTTGTTTCTCCTTTAGTTTGGCAGGTACATGATCCCCCAAGGGCTCCAAGCTGGGTTTCCTTTAGGCTCTTCCTGCAGCTTTATCACCAGTGGATTGAGCTACTGCAGTCTGGTCTCACCTCACCCTCCAGTGCTGGTGTGGGAGCTCTTAGCTGCTGGAGTCTTGAGTTTTGGGCATCCATGCCCTCCATGTAGGTTCACTGTATCCCTCTAATTTGCATGGAGTTTCCTCTGCTGTTTTCTCCCTAACTATTCCCTGAGACTGCACTCTCTCCACTTTTTTTTTTTAAAAGCATATTCTCCTAGACTAGAGCAGTAAGCTCCCTCCCCACTCCACCATCTTGGAAGCCCTCTTCATTTGCTTTTTTATAGTCTTACATTGTGCCCATAAACAGTACGTCATTTAGTCTCACACATATGTGACAAACTGAATAATCTGTACATATTCTTCTATTATTTGTTTTGTTCAACATCACATTCTTAAGATTCTTCTATGCTTCTGTAGGCAGCTGTAGTTAATTTATATTTCATTGTTGACTAGTATTCCCTCAGTGACTCCTGTCAATAACCATTGGGGTTTGTCCAGTATTGGCTATTGTAAACAATGATGTGACAAATATTCTTCTTCATGTCTCCTGATACATACATGCAAGAGCTTTTTAAAAATATAAGTAAAATTGCTGGGTTTTCAGATACATACAATGATACACACACACACACACACATGTGACAGCACCAAATTGTTTTCACTTTCTGGCTAAAATTTGGTATTTTCAGGTTTCAAAATGTCTGTGCATCAGTAAAAATGGCAAAAATTGTGTGTGTCATTGAGATTTTAATGTTTATTTTCTTGAATACTGATGTGGCAAAGCATCTTTTCCTAAGTTAATGAGCTGTTCTGACTTCCTCTCCAGTGAAATGTCTGTTCCAATATTCTCTTTGTTTCTCTGTCTGATTGGTAGTCTTATTTCTTATACATTCTGGATGTGTAAAGAATATTTCCAATCAGTTTTACTGAAAATTTCCCTTTCCAGTACATAGTTTGTCTTTTTCACTTTTTTCTTTTTTAAATGTTTATTTGAAAGACAGTTACAGAGAGCGAGTGAGTGAGAGAGATAATATCTTTCACTCACTGATTCACTCCCCCGATTGCCACAGTGGCCAGGGCTGGGCCAGACTGAAAGCAGGAGCTTGAAACTCCATCTAGGTCTCCCATGTTGGGCCATCTTCTGCTGCTTTCCCAGGCACATTAGCAGGGAGCTGGATCGGAAGTGGAGCAGACAGAACTCAAACCAGTGCTCATATGGGATGCCAGTATCACAGGCAGTTCCATCGTTTTACTTTCTTTATGGTATCATTTGGGGAAAATTTATTTAATGCACACAATCTAATCTTTTATGGCTTATGCTCTTCGTTTATTGACTAATAAATTCTTTCCTAGTTAAAGGCCATAATGATAATCTCTGATTTTTCTTCTGAAACATTTTTAGCTTTGCCTTTTACAGTGAAGTCTATAAGGTACTTGTTGCTGTACCTTTTATTGAGCAGCATCCCAATCAGCGAAGACAGCTCTCTTACTTATCTCTTTTCCGCAGATGCATGGATCTGCATCAGCTCTTCATTTTGTTCCATTGGTTTATTTGCCTAACTGTGCCATTATTACAATGTCTTGAAGGATTTTAGTAGACTTTGATTTCTGGTAGGGTAAAATCCTAATTTTTCTTTAGGAGTGTTATAATTTTATCAACAGTTTTCTTTCCTTCACTTTCAGTAGGCCCAAATTTAAATAATACATTGTTTAAGAAATTAATATTCAAATATCCCACCAAAAAGTGGTAGCTAACTAACTAGAATGGAGATCATTTAGGGTGTTGAAGCTACTTCAACTCAAGGATAGCATGTCCCTTCCCTCCATCTTATCAGCACTTGTTCTCAGCCAGACACATCACAATGTCAATACTAACTTGACAATTCACTGAATGTTCTCTCAAGCCTTTTAGGCTTTCCTTAGTCTCAGGAAGTTGCTCACTTTCATGTAGGCCTTAGAAAGGACTCTGGTGACTAGGAAAAAAAAGTTGCCCTAGAGGTATTTTTGGGATGTTCAAGGATGTATCAAGGGAATTCAGACAGTTAAATAGACTATATTTAAACAGAAAAAAAATCAAGTGGTGTAACTGCTACATATTAATTTTTTATTAGGATACTAAGAGGGAGTACAAACCTTAATGACAGAAAATGAGTATGGGAAATATTATTTATGTGTCTAAATGGCACAGTAAATACTAAACAGTAAAATCCAACCTGAGTTATCTTTGTTTTGGCAATAAATTTCACAGCAGCTCTTGCTTCTTCTTGAGTAACGAGGACTCCATCCAAATGCGTAAGAGTCTTTAACCTGCCAATAACACTCAGCCGCAATGTGTTTCGCTTGGGAAAAATAGCAAAAAGTTAATTTCCACAAAACATTCCATATGTTATGGCACGGAAAAGACTGCTTATTCATTCCTTTCCATAAAATACAAAATTATGCATCTCCTAGTTGATTACATGCATCTAAAAGAGGCTTAACTTAATTTTTCAAATAACAGTTGAAATGAAATTATATTTAGGGATTAACGTTTTGTTTGCAGGTGGATGACTGTACCCAGAAGAGGGGAGGAAATCCCATAAACCGTTGAAAAGTGCTGGTGGTGAAAGATTTAGGATAACGACTGTTGCAGTGCTGTTCATCTAGATCAGCAGTAAGCACTGCCTCACGGGGGACTCAGCGTGGCTCTGCGGCCTCTGGCGTCCAAGTTGGCACCAGGGAGACAGCTGTACTGTGATCCCTGGGAAGTCTGCTTCGGCAGAAGGAAAATGTTCTTCAATTTTACCGAGCAAAAGAGGAGAAACGCAGACATATAATTTTAGTAATGTGGTCAATTTAATACAAACAATAAATCTCATGCCCTTTTAAAATGCTGAACACACAGTTTTATATATCTTTTAAAAGCAAGGAAAGGTAATTTGAAATGATAAAATGGGGGTTTATTTAAAATATCTGGAGATATAGTTAACAAACTATATTCATTGAATATTGAAATTAGTGAGCATGAATTATGTTTTTGTGATGAGAAAAGATATTTGAATAACAGAACATAAGACTTTAGAAAGTAGGTTGATAGGAAAAATGACTTTTGGACTTAAAATAGAGAACAAATAATGCAAATAATACCAGATGTAAAGTACAGCTGTAAAACATGTTTCCCATCCACAGATCAGGACATATGAAAAATCGTGTTTCATTCCTGGCAGTCCACTTCTCTCACCATATTATAGTACTCTTGGTTCCTGAGCCTCTGTATAGTAGGGTTTTGGCACTAAGCTACATAAATTCTCTGGAGGTTGTGAACTGGGAATTACATCAATCACCCTTAAAACAACAATGTTCTTAAACTATCACATTATAAAAAAGAAAACCAACATGAAATGATAGCCTTTTCTCACAGATGCATTTAATTCATTTGATCACTACACTGAATTCAACTTTCAAAAGGCTTAAAGAAAGCCCAGAAAAAAAAAAGACAGTTTGCTTAAGTCTGGCTACTTTTGAATAGTAACACAGTCAGAAAATGATTTGGAAATAAAACTGTTTGCTTTTGTGTAAACACGCCCGGTGCATACCTTTTGCCATGGGTTATGTTGAATGTTAAGAGTGAGAAGGCCTGTGGTGTGTTTGCATAACAGATTTATTTCATCACCAGATTTCTTCAGTTGATTCCAGCTCAAGTCTAAGTGCTTCAGTTTCATCAGACCTCTAAAGCCCTCAAGAGTTATCACATGGTTATGGCTTGCATCCAGATACTCAAGGTTATACTGCAATGCACACAAATAGAAGTGATGCTTAGAGAACCAGTTTGTATTTACCCAGTTCTTCCCTCTATGCTTCTTTAAACACTTCCCAGAGCAGAACAAGGAAGAGATAAAGACAGTTTTCAGAAGACATTTTGCAGCATATTTTTAAAATAAAAATAATATTGCTGCAGATTAAATTGAACTTGATATCTCCACAGTTTAATTCAAAAAACTCTTGAGTTCAGTGGGAAATTAGTCACTCATTTATAAAAGCATAGCCTGCACTGTTGGACTAGCGCTCATTACAGTGGTTCAGATTTTAAAAGTTGAAGGCTCTGACCATCAAAACCTAAAAATATTTTTGGAAAGCAAATAGGTTTATTGATTTTTTTATTCTTATAATTATGTACAGTAAAACAAAACAAAACTATCATTTATTGTCCTTGCCATATCTTGACAAGAGGGATATTTATGGTCATTAAAAAGTATGAAGGGAAAAAGCTTAAAAAGTACATTCTTCTACATAAAATCAATTAGTTTTGTAAATATTTACTACTTCAATTCCCACCCTGCCTGCCCCCTCCCAGGAGTTCTCACCATAAAAATGGTGGAAACCTGTGCCATCTGTGGCACTTGCCTAGCCCAGTGTTTGGCAACCATACACCATAAACAGATAACTGCCTTTGTCCCTTGAAAACAGAGATGGGATCTTCATTTTTGTATCCTCAGGATATAAAACAGATTCTAGGAACTCAGGAAACATTCATTGAACAGTTTTCAGTTTTGCAAAGGGATTTTTGTTCTAAAATTGCTTGTGTCTCAACTAAAAATTTTTTTCTTAATAGTACAGTACACTCCAAATTATAAAGATTAACACTCAAAGATTAACACTTTAAATTTTTTTAGGGATCCTGGTTCATTCTGTAAACTCTGTCCTCCAGACACCAAGAACACCTCAACAACAGATTTCTCATTTGAAAAGGTAAGACAGTGGAAATATTATTTCATTAAAAAATTAGGGTTGTAGTCTAGATTAAGTTTGCAAATAGTTATACATATTTGTAATTCCCTTGTCAATTTGGACGATGCTAGAGCTCTTTTCTGAGAAAGAGATAAATCAGTTCCTATGGCTTTCTCTTAGGAATTCTTTCCTGACAGTTCAGGTGACTGAATGACAGACATTCAGCTTCATATATTCCCATTTACCCGAGTGCGAGGTTTGTTTAAATTCTGAAACGCGCTATAGTCACTATTCAGGATACTCATTTTCTGCCACTTTGAAGAAGCCTAGGTTTCCCACTGCGTAAACAACGCCTTGGGTTGTGTGTACTGATCCACAGGCCAGGCCAGGCCAGGATGATGAGCACTGTGAAAACAAGAGCTACTTTCTGAAGCTAGCAGAACTAACTTAATTCTGGTATGAGAAGCACTCAGGAAGAGCATGCAAAACTGCTCAAGTCTGATATATGTAAAGAAATTCATGGTAAAAACAAGATACCCGAAGGCAAACTGCAGACTTGGAAAAACTTAGGGATTGTGAGTGATCAGATTAGAACATTACTTTATACAATACTGGGACAGGCATAATGAACAGTAGGCACACACAGACAAAGCCAATCACTGGAGATTATACAGGCAGCAGCAGCATAGGTTTTCAATTTCTCTGAGTTCTCACATAAAACACAATAGACAAAATCAAAATCCCACGGACGTTTATAATCAAACTGTATGATAAGGAGGCCCCAATAAACCCCAAAAGAAATTGGTAGGATCAACCCAAACATCTACAGCCAACTTATATTTGATCAAGGATCTAAAACTAATTCCTGGAGCAAGGACAGTCTATTCAATAAATGGTGCTGGGAAAACTGGATTTCCACGTGCAGAATCATGAAGCAAGACCCCTACCTTACACCTTACACAAAAATCCACTCAACGTGGATTAAAGACCTAAATCTTCGTCCTGACACCATTAAGTTATTAGAGAACATTGGAGAAACCCTTCAAGATATTGGCACAGGCAAAGAATTTCTGGAAAAGACCCGGGAGGCACAGACAGTCAAAGCCAAAATCAACTATTGGGATTGCATCAAATTGAGAAGTTTCTGTACTGCAAAAGAAACAGTCAGGAGAGTGAAGAGACAACCGACAGAATGGGAAAAAATATTTGCAAACTATGCAACAGATAAAGGGTTAATAACCAGAATCTACAAAGAGATCAAGAAACTCCACAAAAACAAAACCAACAACCCACTTAAGAGATGGGCCAAGGACTTCAATAGACATTTTTCAAAAGAGGAAATCCAAATGGCCAACAGGCACATGAAAAAATGTTCAAGGTCACTAGCAATCAGGGAAATGCAAATCAAAACCACAATGAGGTTTCACCTCACCCCGGTTAGAATGGCTCACATACAGAAATCTACCAACAACAGATGCTGGCGAGGATGTGGGGAAAAAGGGACACTAACCCACTGTTGGTGGGAATGCAAACCGGTCAAGCCACTATGGAAATCAGTCTGGAGATTCCTCAGAAACCTGAAGATAACCCTACCATTCGACCCAGCCATCCCACTCCTTGGAATTTACCCAAAGGAGTTTAAATCGATAAACAAAAAAGCGGTCTGCACCCTAATGTTTATTGCAGCACAATTCACAATAGCCAAGACCTGGAACCAACCTAAATGCCCATCAACGGTAGACTGGATAAAGAAATTATGGGATATGTATTCTTTAGAGTACTATACCGCAGTAAGAAACAACGAAATCCAGTCATTTGCAACAAAATGGAGGAATCTGGAACACATCATGCTGAGTGAAGTAAGCCAGTCCCAAAGGGACAAATACCATATGTTCTCCCTGATCGGTGACAACTGACTCAACACCAAAAAGGAAACCTCCTGAAGTGAAATGGACACTATGAGAAATGGTGACTTGATCAGCATAGCTCTGACTGCTAATGGACAACTTAATACATTATCCCTCATAGTATTTTTTTTTGTCTGTTCTACTTAATATGACTGGTTTAATTCTGTAATTATCACACAGTTATTCTTAAGTGTTGAAAATTAACCGAAATGTGATCCCTGTTAAACATAAGAGTGGGAATAAGAGAGGGAAGAGATGTATAATTTGGGACATGCTCGGGCTGACTTGCCCCAATTGGTAGAGTTGGAAACATACCAGGGGATTCCAATTCAATCCCATCAAGGTGGCATGTGCCAATGCCATCTCACTACTCCAAGTGATCAATTTCAGTTCACAATTGATCATAATGAAAGGACTAAGAGTCAAAGGGAGCACATAAACAAGTCTAGTATCTGCTAACACCAACCGATAGAATAAATAAAGGGGAGAGTGATCCAACATGGGAAGTGAGATACTCAGCAGACTCATAGAATGGTGGATGTCCTAAATAGCACTCTGGCCTCAGAATCAGCCCTAAAGGCACTCGGATCTGGCTGAAAAGCCCATGAGAGTATTTCAGGCATGGAAAGCCAAGACACTCTGGCAAAAAGATCTCTGTGAGTGAGATCCCAGTGGAAAGAACAGGTCTTCAAAGAGGGAGGTGCCTTTCTCTGAAGGGAGGAGAGAACCTCCACTTTGACTATGACCGTGTCTAAACAAGATAAGAGTCGGAGAACTCAAGGGGCTTCCATAGCCTTGGAAACTCATAACTGGTGCATAGGGAGATTACTGATGCCATAAACAGGAGTGTCAATTGGTAAAGTCAACAACAGGAGTCACTGTGCACTTACTCCTCATGTAGGATCTCGGTCCTTAACGTGCTGTACACTGAGGCTTAATGCTATAACGAGTACTCAAACAGTATATTTCACTTTGTGTTTCTATGGGGGTGCAAACGACTGAAATCTTTACTTAATGTACACTAAACTGATCTTCTG